TACACACATAATACGAACAAGTCTATGTGAGATGTTATAATTATCTATGTACTTATAAAGTAGCTTACATTGCAGTCAAATTACAACGCCTCATGAATTAACTGTATTTATTAAATAACATTTTTTGTATTCTAAACGTTTCAGATTTCCAATGGTTAGCTTGATGTCGTTATGTTATCAATATCATCCAATAAAAACTTCAAGTGTTAGAATAACATGTTCAATTAATTACTACTTTATGTTTGAACCGTCGCTTCCCTGACTTTCTTCTTTTAAGTAAAGCCAGTTGAAAGTATGTTATTACATTAATACTTAATACGCCTCGATTCTAACTGCTAGCTACAAGTCTTGTCTATATTTCTCAGAAAGCTAAAAGTTTTCAAATTACTGTATCTCATCAGTTAACTTCTGCGAAGCGTACTAGTTCCAACAAATCTCATAAAAGCCGACATAACTTTCGACTTAATCAACTTTATGGAGGACTTTGAAGTACCCGAGACTCAGGATTACTATAAAAAAATTAATACTTGTTTGTAAGTTGTTGATTCAAAAAGTTATGCTATTTTAATGGATCTGTACGATCTCAATTCATGTTAATTATTGTACTGTCTGTCCTTAAGGGAATGACGGACCTGAGACGCAACTGACTGAATTCCTCAACATAACGCAGTCAAGTCGTCGAGCTCGAGACTATCATACAATCAAGCTTTATAGTTGGAATTATTACGCATGTATTAAGCGCATATAGGTACCTATAGACATTATGTACATACTAATAAGAGGCACTGCAAGACTTGTTACTCTGGAAGGAAATTATGTGCCTTACGTACATGATTCTTCCGGCGCGCCTAGGATATTTAATTGTTATACCCATATATTCAATTATATTTATATGACAACTTTATTGAGCTGTTACGACTACGACATGAATTGGATACATAGATATTATAACTGAATACACAGCGGCTTTGTTTGTGTTAAGTTTAAAAACATAAGTTTCAACTTTCAATTAACGCTAGCTAATGAAAATTATACCAAATTACCTACGTGGCCAATATTAATAATATTACAGTACAGAGTTTCTAGTTTCTGACACCATGGGATACACGACACCGATCCGCTTACAAAGCTTTATATTATCATGCCGATGTGGGTAAAGAAAAATATCTTTGACTTTCAAGTCTTAACTCTCCATTATGAAAGTCTATAGTAGATAAATAAATAACTTCGAGTAAAACTGAATAGGATTGGCGGTCAGAAGACTGGTGACATTGTCTCCAGTCGATAATAGAGACTGAGACGAATAAATATAAAATTAATAAACTACTTGTAACTTCAATCTGTTGGCTCTTTACAAGATATATGTACCGAGAACTTCTAATCCATTGAAAACCGAATCTAATATGTAGTACAATAAAAATTTAAGTAATAATAAGCATGAATTTCACATTTACGTAGCCTGAGTCAACTATGCAGTGTTGGTCGTATTTACCAGTGTAACTTCATCACTTTATAAAAGGGTTATCGTCTATCTTAGAAATTAATGACCAACTGGGAGTCTCTATTTATTAAATTGCCGCCCATCGGAGCTTAAGAGTTCATCGACCGAGCTTCGTTGTGGTCATGCGCAGGCTACGATTTGTCTTATCTACTCTATCTCATGTCTACTTCGAGTGTCGACGATTGTACATTCATTAGGTACGGTTAACGCCAACACTCGATTAACGTTTACCGAACGGAAGCTCTTTTCTATGCGTGTATATAACTACTTGTTGTTAATGTATGTCTTTTTATAATATCTAGATGGTTAATGCAAAACAAAAATTTACAGTTGAATTATTGTGAACAAGTTAAATAAATTTAAATTGTCAAACACTTTTGTTGTTGACTTTACGAATGATTTATGCCTGTTCTTGGCTGTAGGTAAGTTGAGCTCCTCGCAGTCAGTTACGCCACACATTTATGCAGTTATCTGCATAAAATTGCCATGTCGCGTTTTATTTTACGGAAAAAATAGACAAGTCAGAACAGCCTAGTTTGTGGATGGTGGATATGATTGACTGAAGATTAAAACTGATTTTAGAACATAAAGAGATGTCTTTACTGAGTAGAATTTGTACATTGCAAGATAACAGGCATGTTATTAGTCACACTCACACTGTTGCAATTACAATTAAAATCTCGAAACGTTTGTGTCACTCAATAACAATACTAAGGTTATTAAGTGGAAAGTTGTATTGTGACATGGTTGAGGGGTATTTTTAGTTTTATTGTCCCGACGTTAATAGTTGTATGTTAATGTACGTATGTATGAACAAGGTTAATACTAAAGGGCAATGGCCGCGGGCGGATACCGCACGTCCTACACCCTCCCTCACGCTAGCTAACGAGAGACTACACAACACATGGAAGCTTATACCGTGTGTATTATTATTATTAACACCCAAAGCATAAGGATGGTGAATGGACTAAACATTTCTTAAAAACATTATTGGACCGCAGTGTATTTTTACAAGATATTTACGAACTTGTTATTATTTTTAAATTATAAGTTATTACTTATTAATTGCGAGTTGAGTACGTATTACTAATTTATGATGACATCTTTCCTCTTAATGAGACATTGCTATATAGATACCTAAAGAATATAGTACCTAGTTATTAACTGTAATAAAGTTTGTTTATTTTCCTCTCTTTGTGCAAGTAGGAGCCAACCGCCTTTTATTTGCGTAAGCTCTACTTTTAGAATATATTATTCGTAGAGAGGGTTGTAACACGTCATGTAGTAAAGGGTGCGATGTCAACTTGACCTCATAATAAACCAGACGCCCTTTATCTGTCTAGTAATTTTCCTTCCGTAACCATATTATTTTTTTGGGAAAACAGACTTAGTTATCAAAGTTAAATTAAAATAGCTTTAGCCATTAATTAGCTAAATTAAAATAGACCTTTATACAAAAATGTGTCATGCAGATCATAAAAATAACATCATTTTTGCATCTGGGGTAAATAGTTACTCTTTGAGTTACACAGGGAAATGCTTTCTGAAAGTCCTTAAATGCACGAATGGCATGCACTTGGTCGATGTCCATCTCGTATGATAGCGCAAGAGAATGTCTCCAATTGACCTTTTTGCCACAGATTAAATTCCAAGAGCAATGACGGTCCGGTCCGGTACTGCATTAATATGTTAACTAAAGGCACTCAGTAGGTAACAGGGACCCCACCCAGCTTTGCACCACCAAAGTAAATACAATTCAAAGGAATCCTTCGTTATCTATTAATTACTCAGTTCGTAAACCATACGAAAATAATAATTACGTATACTATTATTTTCAACATATTATTTTGATTGTAGTTCGGTTATTTCGACCTATAGAGGAGACGAGTGCTTTTTGAAGCTGAATCAAAAATTTTATGCTTATTTTAAGATTTAGCTATTCTATACGTTCATTAATTAAGCGGAGCTCAGGTTCATAACAACATTAATAGTAATTAAAATAAAAAATAAAAGCAAAGAAGAAGTATGTATGACCGTATAGCACAACGCAAGATTGAAGACCACATTTTTTCGGCATTGTGTTTTCGCTCAAACCTTGTTGGCCATGACGGTGTGTTCCTTGTCGCGTTCCTGGCATTGATTCTGTTATTAGAGGGTCTGCAATGATAGTGGAAGAGAGGCAATACTTGTGCCATAGGATGTAAGAATGTGATTATAGTCTAGTCTCTGGGTATTGAGTATAGTCTCTGGGCTGACACATCTTGATTTTTTTATAGTTCAGCATAAAGTTGCCAATTTGTTTTAGCATAGTATTTATTTTTCATCCAAAATTAGGACACCCATGATTTGATACACTCGCGTTTGACCGCTTTCTCACCAGATGGTAAACGAGAATGTGGTTTACGGTCAATGATGCGCGTTCGTTCAGAAGAGATAAGTGTCAAATGAATTATCCGAAGCCAGGACAATTAAACAGGACCTACACCACCGGGTAAGTCCGCGTAAGTCTCCATATCGGCGACGCAACGTGCTCGGTTATTAAATGAGTGACTTTTGTACAGTTAAGTACAGGTAGTTGAGAAGAGAATTTCCGATAGACTTTATTCCTATTTCCTCTCTTCTCTAAATTAACTTTTGTTGAAGTTCGTTGTTAATTATTTCACTTATGTAGTGAAAAGTTAGTAAATATTAGGTACCTGCTTAAAAAGCCAATAAAACATACAATAAAAGTAAAAACAAACAGCATAAAACGAAAATTAGAAAATTCAGCGATAACGTTACGTATAAGTAGGTATAGATATAAGACAAAATTAATTCTGTTTTATTCATTTTTGGTCCCAAACTCAATTTTAAATTGAAAGATAAGAAACCTTAACCTCATTTTAGTTATTGTTACAGTACTTGCACCCTTGTGGTGATTGCATAACATTTATTTAGTAACAAGTAGGTATGTAAGTAGGAGTACCGAATTCAAGTTTGCGCGAAAATGTAATCGCCGCAAGCGCCGACCAAGCGTCAGCTCTGCGTCGGCGCCGGGTGTAACACCCCGGCGTTGAGACTATTTGTATCAAGATCAATATAAATGCGCCTTTCATTACATGTGAAATAATGTGTAGAGTTCTACACTGAGGATCGTTTCAATTTTATTGAACCTCCAGGCGTCAGTAAGGAATAATAATATCAATATTGCAGTCACAAATTCGAATCCATAAGTATAATATCGTAGGTATCACAGTTTATCCCCGATTCCAAACAGCCAATTCAATTTTAAATTCGCTAGGCCAAATTCGCTGTATTTTCCGCAGAACATATTTCTTTCTTCGAACTCTGTACACACAAGAGAATGAAGAAAGAAATTAAATAAAAATAAATGGGAATCTGAAATAAAATTTGCGTAGCGTATGCATAATTGCTGGATAATAAGTGAGTAAAAAATAATACTGAAAAATAACACACGCTAGCCAAATTGTCACACCAGAAGGTATGTGTATGCACTTACCTCGTATTTGATGCCGGCCAAACGAAGCCATGTTTCAACTTTCAAGCAGTATGGTGAAGTTGAAGGTAACAAAGGAGTTCGTGAAAATTGATACAAGTAGACGATATCCTTTTCAAAGTTAGCTTTGTGGACCGTGATCTTGGGCGGGGCAGGTTCCACTTTCTTCTCCTCTGTCTTTTCTTCTACTTTTTCAGCCGGCGGTTCTTCTTTAGTTTGTCCATTGTCTACCGGCGCGTCCTCTTTTGCCTCCTTTTCTTTCTCAGTGTTCTCAGGCACGTTATTTATTACTTCTGTGGCCATTTTTTAAGTCAAAATGCGTATAAACCAGTCTCTAATTAGTTATCGCACGCACTTTAATTTACACAAAGAGCCACGCTAAAGAATTTATAATTTTAATTCACTGCAACTAAAGAGCAAAATGCGCGTACCCCACCGTCTGTGTTGTCAGCTCGACTGGGCGCGGGGACGGCCGGGGGGGCTGCGGTACGGGCGCGGGCGGGTAAACGCTAGGGCTGCTGTGTAGCACAGCTTGGGCTGGGCCGCCTTTTTTGCGGTGATAATGTTGCCAGTATGAAATTAAATTTCCCCCCGTAATATTTTCCCTACATAACACGTGGTATCGTGCAGATATTTTTTAAATGCAGGAATATTATTCAGGTAACAGAATTACAACAAAGTCTTTTTAAAGGGGGTATGTACGTGTGTGTGTGTGATTTGAATTCGTGCGTAAAGTAAAAGTCTATCAATGCCAATTCGAAAACCATTTCGAGGTTTTAGTTTGCGAAGTCATAGGTATTTTGTTCCTTTTGTCAATTTAAAACCAATCGCATATGTAAAGTCTCAACTTTACATACACAAAGCTAATATGACGTAGGTATCCACCAATAGGTAAGAACAGATTTTTATAAATGCCACCCCTAAAGGAATAAAAATTTGCAACGGAGTACAAAAATAGTTTAGATCTGATAAACAAAATATCGATGAGTTTTAACCCCAGGAACGGGACCTATGCGCTAAAGCCTAAAAAGACTCTAAAAAGACTCTCGATACGGGGACCGGGATTCTTTATTTTTGAAACCACGTAAATAAATTCATTTCACAATAAATATAGCTCTGGTACTGAATCGATTCTGATGACATTTGTTACAGTTACAGCAGGCAGACAACTTCTGCCAGCTCGGTTGCCAAAGAAGAAAGAAAAAAAAAAAAAAAACTTCTGCCAGAATTCATTATTTTACGCTGACGAAGTAGCGGGCAACAACTAGTCACATTAATATTTTAACTCGTCGAGTACCGGTTTTATAGACACAATTAAAGAACAATAGGTCGCGGTCACCGGTGACCGCTTGGTGTTTGACAGTTTAAATGAGAAAGTTTGTTTGTTTTAATGTTTGTCCGTCGATCACGCTGAAAGCTAGTTTATTACAACTTAATATAATTTTCGATCAGCGACATAAAAATAGTATTACACAAAAAAAAATTGGTTGCCTGTAAAGTCGGTATACGGGCGAAAGTTTTACGTGACAACGACTTTGAGTGGTAAAATAATTTTAATGTGAATATTCATTCGTATAGTAGGAAGAAGGATGAACTGTGCTCGAGTGGAAGGGACGCGTGCCTTTCACTTTTTATGTCTGTCTCTCTCTCGCTCTTAGGCGAGCAAACCATGCCCGAGTGGAAGGGACGCGTGCCTCTCACTCGCTCTCATTGTGAGCGCATAACGTGAGCGGAGCGTAACGCAGTTTCTTGAAGTGTCACCCGGCAAACCAATTTATAAGACGTTGTCACGTCAAAAAACTGTTTTTACATAAGTACTGAATCAATATTCAATTAATCTTAGACACATTTGTTTGGCATAACAACCTAAAAGAAAATATTCCAGGTCAGCGCGTTTTATTAATTTCCATGTATGGTACCTATTTTCACGATCAAATTCAACTTCATGTACTGTATAAGATTTTGCAAATCAAAGTCTTACTGTGTAACTGGAGATGGTTGCAAATTTAAAAAAAAATTTTTTTTTTTAATTGTTTAAAATGTTAAATGTTATAACAAGATATACAACACTTAAATGAAACGAAGTTTTTAATTATGTATAAAAAAACTTTACGTAAACCAGCATATTACACACTTAATGATTATATAGAGGATAAAAATGCTTGGATGCACGCCGGTCCAGCTCCATGGGATAACGAAAAACACTGATGTTTCAATGAAACATGTAAATATTATAGCCTAGTCGCTAAAATATATATTGTTTAACTTGCATAATCATTGTAAATGTGAGAGCCCTGTAATTAACTTAATATTAAATTGGACTAGTAGATGTCTAGACTTATGTCAGCTTGGAGTTGTCATGTTCACTCAAAGATCTCATTGGCGGTGGCACGTGCATCGGATCGCTAGATTCCCTGCAATATGGTTGAGTTGGGCGGTGCTGGTGTAGGTAAGTACGTGTCATATTTGTGAACGGGCGCCGTCAACTGGGACTGGTCAGCTCCAGACTGCATTATTTATTGTCTTTAAGGTTATTTTTATTCGATCTCTTTGACTTGATTTTGGTGTTACATTGTTCTCGCACAATCGAACCAATAAAACTGTGTAACTGGAGAATTATAATGTGAACCTGATTGGAAAAGAGTAACCTATGGAGTTTCTTGCTCGTTCTTCTCCATAGGAATGTACCCCTTAGAATGAGCAAATAACTTCACTTTTAAATTTCTATTGCTGACGCTCAAAAGTGCCTTCCTGGTCTAATTGAAATATGTAAATGATTTCGACTTCGTATTTGAATCTATAGTAAATAATGCATTGTGTAATTTTATATGTAGGTATAAAAATTTATGTTTGTCAGTATGTTCTTTGTAGAAGCGTATTTTATGCTAATCATGTGTTGAAGTAAATTTAAATTTTAAAATAATTTAAAATTTTCAGTTTCATAATATTTTCCTTCGAAAATAGGGAACTTCATATTTATATTCATCTTGCATTAGAAAATTTTAAGGTTTAACAATATACTGAACTGCGTACCGTTTTGAAAACTCACCAGTATAATTAGATGAAAAGAAACAGGCTTCCAGGATGCTTAATTCACGTCATACTGTACAGTCAGTGGTCGCAGTGTATATCGGAACATACATATCCATAATTTTCCCATAAAATGGGTAATGCAATATAATCTGGTAACATTATTTACAGCATGCGACACTAGCGCCACATATTTTGACAGATATTCAAAATTAAGTGCAGCTCGTCGCATTGCAAGCTTTTATTTTATGTAAGCCAATTACTTAATAAATTATTACTGTTCATGCCGATATTCATTCCAATTCTTATATTTAGCAATATCTTTTTTGTGATATTCCTTCGCTGACTGCAATTTTATTAAAAGTCGTACCCGCAGTAATAGATTGAACCAATTTAAATCTCGCGGGCTTTTTACAGACAAAATTTGTAGTAGATAGGGAAAGATTCACAATTTCACGGAAGTTTAATTACGGTTAGAGAACTTTTATGAAAAAAGTTTGTACTTATGGACGAAATGAAAACAATATGATTTAAAATATTTATTTGTTCAGTACATAGTATAAATACTACATAAAAAACTTATATAAAATTATGCAAAGTTACGCTTAAATCTGTTCGCAGCAAACAACCCAATTCCTAAATGATATGTATCATAACTGCATTATACATATTTACTTTAAATTGTCATACTTTTTTCACTATTAATTTGATCATTACAACATTATATTAAGGCTTATTTATTTAACTAGATTTCTAATTTTAAAGCGAGGTTGCGCATTTCATAAAATTACAATTACATCTATCTTTCCCCGACGATCTATAGAGAAGTTAGCTAAACTTACTCCTTAGTTGCCTGAGGTATCTCACTATTGAAAAATTTGTAATGGCAAGGTATTATAATAATACATTGCACGAATTGGCAGTCATATTCAATTCCTAGTGTGAAAACAATATTCACGAATTCAATTTATCTTAAAAAATAGCTAAGTGACGATCTAAGACAGAAGACTACAGCATCAATTACAACACTCTATCGCTATTACATATTAAATCTACTGAAATATTATTGCATTAAACCTGTACTTGGTACCATACCTAAGTTTAGTTACCATTTCAAATATCATTAAGAAATTGGGTTGCAAATATCACAATTTTAATGCCTTTATTTTCGGTTATTACATCAAAAACTATCGGCTGTGCAACATTTTTCTTAGCTTTATGTTTTTTCAGTATACAAGCAAAAATAGGTGATAGAAAAATTAAGTTAAAGACGATAAATGTGCTTAATTTGAGAACAAAAATAATTAGTCATACATTGTCAAATATTCAAATAATCATTTTGCTGGTTAGTTACACAAACTAACAAATATTATCATACCAAGTAATTGAAACAAAATATACATTTGGTAAATAATAAAATAACATTTGGTTACTTCCGTATCAATTAAATCTTATTCATTATATCCGATTTGGCTTAATAATTGATGAAATGAACTCCTACACTGAGGGTCAGTTACTAGTATAAGCTACGTGTTGCTGGCAAAAATACTTCCATATATGCAACAGAATAACTTGTTCTGGTGAAAATAAAACTTGAATTAAAGAAACAAATATCTCTTACTCTTGGATAACCGTCAAACATCTATAAGCGTCACAAACTCACTACATATAATATAGTATTAGTTGGCAATCGCAAGTAATCGCAAGAAATGTGTATTAAATTGCTGGCTTCATGCACAACTTAGTTTGACAAAGAAAGAAACGGACGGACAATGCTGTGATCATTAGAGTTCTATTATTTGTTTTTAGATATAGAACCTCAAAAATAGAGATTGGCTTGCCATGTTGTTAAAACTAAAGTATAATACACATAAAGCTTATACCAAAAACGTAAATGTGGACATATAAGCTTATCAATATTATTTCTTGTGATCGATAACTTTTATTTCATATCGAGCTCTATACCTAAATTCAATAAACTTTGATCAGTATCCTAATATATCTACTCAGCACTAGCGAAACAACATTTATTCTTATAACTCGTATAACTTATTTATACTACTACATTACTAAATTTTTAGTATTTTTAGAATTTAGGGTTTTACAGTAAATTGTTCCAGTGATTTTTGGTGCACAATTACAACATCAGTTGAGAAAGTCGACTTATAGTATCGTCGACTGCTAGTGTCTACAATAAACTCTAGTCATCCACATTTATGCCTAAACTATTACATATCGAAACTACCATTACTACTTAATCTCATTCTTTACCACCAGGTAATTTTCATTTGCATTCTTACACACGTTGATTTTAAGCAAATATACCAGAATCATTATGTCAAAATATACGACAACGCAGATACACACCACAATAAAAGAAATAAGCGTTTGTATTTCTTCAGACTTATATAAACTACTTAGATATGATGGTGATGGTAAATTGGTAATTATTCTAAAAATAACGGATATCTCTTTTGAAAAACTGAAATCGATGATCTTCGATGTAACAATATCTGTTGTAGTAATCTTAATGTAATTGGTGTCTTATTCATTAATGTGATTATGTTGATTGCACTGAACCGTAGTCTTGTATCGCTATCTAATATAACGATGTATTTGTATACAAATATTCCCCTAACATTCTAAATTGCTTATGTCAAGAATACATTATGTACCAGATTTTGTCCATATGACGTTCGATCGTTAGTTCACTATATACTAGTTTATTGCAGACATTACACTCCGGTTGAAATATCAACCAACATATTTTACAGTAAAATGCTTAATAAGAAAATATGTGACTATATTTAGACTATCTATTGCTATAGAAGTCAGGCAATCCGTTGCTTTTGTGATGTATTGACTTTATTATACTAATTCAGTTTGTATGCCGTGTGGATACTGGATTCACAACCAATAAGTTGAATGTTAACAAACGCTAGTGTTACAATGGAATCACAAAATAGACAAACAGTTCGTTATTCGTGGAGAGTTCACTGATCACTTTGTTCACAATTAGCACTGAGGCACTACAGCCACGCCGTTTATTCCGAGCTGGAGCTCGAACTAGACGGCGTGTAGCTGTAGTAATCGTTCTGCTAGGCGGTATTTATCTGTTCCACATTCAAATGAGTAATAAAACGCAAACGCATCTGCAAAGCCGGCCGCAGTTTGCGAATAACACTCTCCACTTCGTTCTTCATAGTGTCGCCGACGAACATATATTTTATGTGATAGCTGTAAAACTCATTAAGGAAAATATTTATGTAATGTCAGTTAAGGTACCTATGTGGTTAGAGCGATGCGTAATAAGTTGTTTTTGTATTTAAATATAAGACATGCTAACAGGATAATCAGTTATACCTATAAAATATACTTGCTTTTATTTCTTGAAAGTTGAATCAATACAAGTGTGAAGCAGGAGGTCGTCCTTAAAACAAAATACAGTCGTTACTATAACGCAACTGGTAAGTTTCTGGAAAATGGATGTTTACAATTACCTGCATCTTTATAAATATGTAGTGAGTCGGGCCTCATGAAAGATTACCAACTGACAGGATACCCAGACTACATTTTTACCACTCTGCCTTTTAAATTGTCTCATATTTAAAATTCTTATAGCTAGATTTTATTTTTAAATTCTTGTATGAGAGTCTGCAAATATTTTATGTATTCATGAAATCGTCAATTAGGTACCTACACTTACTTTGCAAGTTGAAAATGTTTACTGTAGATATAGAGTGAAAACAACTGATTATGAAACAAGTCTTAAAATATTAAAACTTAGAACCTTACCAAACTAAGTACTCTAACTATAGGAATAAAGAAAGATATTTTTATACGAAACGAAGTAATTGCCGGGGGAAATTAGCCTAAAATACGATTTTGAAAAGGATACAGTAAGTCGCATATTGGGTCAATGTACTGTAGATGTGGCTGAGACTTGTCGATGTGTGCCAGCAGCTCGTACAATGTGATAGTGATGTCCATCACGGCTCGAGACAAGTCCGAGTTGAACCGCTGCAAGAACGGCCCCACCAAGTGACACAGGTACAGGAGCTGAATCTCAGTGTGCACCTCCACTGACAGCTTTTCTTTGATAAATCTGAAAACAGGTGAATTCAATATTATCAGGGTGAAAGTTAAAACATTTTTTTAAACAATTCGGTATTTGAAAAGAAAATAAAAATAATATAAGTTATCTCATAATATTTATGTAAAATTCTCAAAATCAATCGATTTGGTAGTTGAAAAAAATAGTAAATAAATACACAATATACTTACTGCGGTACTTGCATAATCTGTCCAGCGCCTGCGTGGTACCAAATGGCATGAGCCAGTGCCAAAGTCAAGCTGTATTTGTTTTCCAACATGGCGTCATTGGTTGTAGTGAGATTGAAAAGTTGGAATGGTGTGAGATTGAAATGTTGGAATGGCCATTCCGTCATTTCATTATTTGTTATTAACTCCATTATACGATCATGAAGAACAGTCCAGTAGGGATCAGGTAAGGCAGCCATTATCAGACCGATAGCATTGATCCAAAGTTGGATCTTAGTCGGTGGTATTACAACAAAACCTTTGGTGATGACGTCCAGGAGAGTGTTACCGACGAAATTGGGTGCTAGAGGCAGTGACATCAACTCCACACATGTCACGTACAACGCATGTGCTGAGGGATTTGGATATTCATTGAATCGCCAATCTGTGTTGGGGAAGTGCGAGCTGCCAGTCATAGCTGTTATATAATTAAGGAAGATCAATTTTGATGTGCATTTTGTCAAGATAGGATTCGTTCCGATGAAGACTCGTTTTTTCGTTCATCGATTATCACTTATATAGGGTGAGGTTTTGTTTGTACTGTAACTTTAAAACATTCAATAGTTCTTAGTATTTCTTCTATTCATTAGCATCTTTTCTGGCGAATTCATACGCAATTGTCATCATTGCGACGGTACTACAGTAGAACTGGTGTAAAGTTGATACTATAATACAAAATAACAGTCAATTTTAAGAAGGATATTTTTTTGTCAATTTTGTATGGATTCTAACTTTAATAAACAAACTTAACTACACGTATCTAGATTATTAAGACTGACGTAGACTGTCCAATCAGTACAAGAAATAAATTGTTCATATTGTAAAAAGGATACTGTCTACCATTCTATTGACTAGACTAAGGTAGTAGCTGAGGTCTGGACCAGTCCAGGCGGTTGCTTCCACGTCGGTTTTGGCAAGATAGGCTTGGAATGCTTCAGTCGTGGCCCATCCAGCTGGCCGCACCTCTTTTAAGGAGCCCAGTACAGCGTTCACCAATTTCCTTTTCAATAAAGGCTTGTCACGAAGTTTCGACTCATAATAGTGCAATGTGTTATACAAGAACGTGATTGGGCGATCTGTTAACAATATTAAATAGTAATTAGCAAAAATAGATAATATTTAACTAATAAAAATCTACCTACCAATTAGTATATATCTTCAAACTTTCGTTAAGTGGCTGGCATATTATGTTATGTATACAGAAATGATCAAGGGCAATTTAAATTGCAATTTGATTTAAATTATTTCAAAATATGTTTTTTTTTCTTACCTTACTGCAATAAAAATGTTATGATACTATTATAACTACAATTAACATGACCACCAGTTATAGTGTAATGGTGGTTAAAAGACAACATAAACAACTTACCATGGAATTTATAGAGATATCCAAGATGTTCCAGCAGTTGTTCCAGATTCTTGCTAACAGATGGTATCTCCAGGTGTCGGTGCACCACAATGTCTAGAACGGGTATAAACCTAAGGCACACGTTACTCAGGTACACAGGAATTGGACCTCCGTAAGCGTTGCTTGCCTCCTCCGGTGCGAACTTTTCTGGGTATTTTCTATGAAATGCTAAATGTTTATCATACCTGTAATATTAATTAATAATATTTATAAACATCGGCATTGACACAGATTATATTATCCTTCTATAAGATTCCTTATCCTGATGTAAGGCTAGGTAGAGGTATACATATTTATAATAATTTATTATTAGAGACAAGCTATGAGTAATCAGCAATATTGATTAGCTCACAGCAGTCGATTGCACTCCTCGTACCTCTGAAGGAAACCATTGGATAATAATAAAAAAACAGGCGTAAATTTCTTAAATGTCTCTTATTTCGAAGGTCGAGGAGTGTGATGGTAGCCTAGTGTCCACAAAAACAAACAATATTTTAATATTACCAATTATTTTGCTTCCAATGTTCCGGTGAGTTTTCTTTTACAAAGTCCTGAGCTCGATTCCTTAACTCCGAGCCTTTAAGCAGTAGTAGCTGGATGATATAGAGGCACACTTGGCTCTCATTGCCGTCCGGGTTGGGGCGTAGTACCTATGGAGAAATCAACCAATCAAACGTCGGCCCATAAAATATAATACCAAAAAAATATTTCGTGAATGTCAGATACCCGACTTTGCCACGGAATAGGTTTATTTATAATTTGTGGGTATACAGGTAGACTAAAGTAATTCTATTTTGAAAAATAAAAATAACGTTATATTAAAATTTTTGAAGGTATCACTAGCTCTTAGTGTTTTTAAAATATATATCCAACGATGGTACATTGGTACACCATATGGCCCACAAAATAAGAATTTACTCGAAGAGTCGAATAAAATATAATGTTGTGTAATACTATTAATAACATAATTTTAATTACAACTTACCAAGCACAAAACAAGCCTATCAATGGTAACGATGTTGTACTTCCAGATAATGTCGTTGATCGCGTCGACGCACTTGTTGATGTGCGGCCCGCCGGCCGGGTTGGTCACCTCAAACACGAGGTAGTCGCAGAACTTACGCAAGTGCGCCGACAACGCCCGCGCACCGATGCGTTCTAAGATCCTGGAATAAACAGATATAACAAATTCTTAATCTATATTATAAAATATAAACTAATATAGAAAGCTGAAGAGTTTGTTTGTTTGAACGCGCTAAGTTCCGGAACTCCTGGTTCGAATTGCATAATTATTAGTTGTAATAATTTTACATTCAACAGGAGCCGTGCAGAGGGTGTCACAGTGGGGGAGCAGTAATAATATAAATGCGAAAGTGTTTGATTATTTGTGTATCTCTCACTGCTCGCTCTCGCTGCAGAGCAATTTCATTGTTGGTTTTTATGTTTGAGATTAAGCTAGTGTTGCCCAAATGCAAGAACAAGACGAGACTTAGCCAGTCTGGTCTTGGTCTTGCGCCAATACACCTGGTCTTGGTCTTGCGCTCCCAGTCTTGGTCTTGCAGCAAGAGTCTTGCAAGTCTTGCAATTACCTATTAGTCTATTACTATTTATTAAAGTTTACTTTAAATCTTAGAGAAACGTATTAGAATTGGAACATTGTGAGCTTGAATTAACATAGCCATAGTAAAGATCAAGCAGATTAATAAATAACTGAAGATTAAGAAATATAATGACTAAATGTACAATAATAGTACCTAAGTAATTAGTTTAAAACCATATAAGTAATGAATATTATAATATATACTTACTAGAATGAATTAATATGACATCTACTACCTATCCCTACCATTTTATCCTAATCATAATACTACTTGCGTGATCAGTATAATGTATTCATTTTCATTCTAAGCACTCTGAAACTTATTTATTCTTTGGAACACCTGTAGGTACTCTTAAAATTCGAAATTATTTTGCATGAGTATACCTACGCCCTATGGCGGCAATCAAATAGTGTCAAATTTTATGATTTCGGCGTGGCGGCAACGATTGTTTTAGATTTCAAAAGAAGCCGCCGGCGCGTGTATCATAACCATGTACTTCCGAAAAGCGGCAAATTTCTTAGAGAAGTAAGTACAAAACCTTTGATGCCGCATTATCAAAGTGTCGATGGTTAAAACATAACTATGCATGCACTCGCTATGTTTATGGTATTAGTCGTAATGCGCATAGGTACAGTTTTTCATATTCTTTGATACAGTTTTTTGCGTCTCATAGAATTCCTAAGCGTACCTACCTATACACCGAACTGTTACACCTAACTACTCAGTGAAATAGCGCTAAGTCCTAGCTGCAAGACGCAAGAGTCTTGCAGGCTATGTCTTGTTCTTGCTCAAGTCTTGCACGGTCAGTCTTGGTTTTGGTCTTGCTAAAAATACGCGGTCTTATTCTTGGTCTTGGTCTTGCAAAAACGCAAGAACAAGACCAAGACTGCAAGACCAAGACTGAATTTGGGCAACAGTAGATTAAGCAGGCTGGGGAGTGATATAAGTTTCTGTTTGCCTATGATCACACGAGCAAAGCTGCTGTGATACTTTCAAATAATGTTATAAACATATAATTAGTTTGCCTGTTCAACCACGTCAAAATTCAAACGTGTGATTAAAGAAAAATTCTACACCTTTTTCGCTGGATTCGGTAATCCAAATACAGTAGCAAGCATTCAATAAACAATTATATAAATTAATATTACTAATAAACAATCGCGATGATTTCACTTTGCTTAGATAGTTTTAGTGCCAACAATAGCAATTGAAAATATATTCAATTCGCAAGGAGTATCTATCATTCGATTCCACCTCTAGTGAACCTTGTTTCTTTAGATATTATTACACTTGTCAAGGTGGGTAAATCCATAAGACCATTATATTGGGAGCATAGCCGGCCAAAAATTAGTTATAAAACCCAATACTTATATTGGCATTTATGCGAACATAGCATTACGTCTTTTGGTCCCCGAAAGAGTCGTACACTTTCAAAGAAGAATTAATTATTTACCAATTTTGACATGAGGAGCTTGAGTGTTAATATTTTGTATTCACTAGCTTTCCGCCCACGGTTTTGCGCATATGGTGAACCAACAATAAATTATACATTAAACTATCTGTTGACCGTATAAAATTTCGTTCGCTAGTTCTCGGGTTTATCACGTTCTTACAGAGTATATAAGTATACATAAGTATACACAGACAGAAGCCACAGAAGACTTCTTCGAAGGTTAAATCAAACTATTTTGTTTGAAATTCGCAAAGAATATAAGAAATACAATCGAAATTCCAACAAAATCATTCGCAACAAAGCTTATATCGAATATTGAGCATCGCAATATATTTAACAAAAAATCGCTAAAGATTACATTATGGTTAAAAAATAACAGTCGCTAGAATTGCGTCAGTAAGAAGATAAGATTTAAGAACATATAAAATAATATATAAACTCACTTGAAAGCTACTGGATTGATTCTATTCGTCTCGAATATCATTTTCCATAGCAAGCAAAGGAAGAGAGGCGTGCCCGGTACTGAGAAATGTGATATAATATCGTTGTCGTTAGCCATTGAAGTCCATTTGCGGTACTCCTCCTCTACTGATTTCTTCAAAACCTGCTTATTCTCTTTAGGAGCCGGATTCTGCAATTGTTCATAGAAATATTAAAAAACTGCAGCTTACCACCTACCACATATTTTTCTGTACTACTCAAAGAAATGCAATGCTATACAATTGTATAAAACATTGAAATAAATAAAAAGTTATATTAGATGAAATATAAAATTAGTTTGAAATCAAATTGTTACAGAAGATGCATGCAAACTATTTTTTATGGTATAGAGGGCAAACGGGCGTGCTGATCACCATTGATAACTGTAACAGCAGAGGAATCACAAGTGCGTTGCGTCTTTTAAGAAGAAGATAGGAGGAGAGGAAGGAGAGGAGGAGATTCGAAATGAAGGAAATCGAAATTCGAAAGTTTAAAATGGTCAAGTCTTAATTATTACAATGTGTTTATCCTTACTTGGGCAAAAAATTCTACCAGCATCGGAGGGAAGCATTGCAACGTATGTTGGGACCACATGTGCGGCGTGTTTGTCATTATAGTAGTTAGGAGTTCCTTCACTGCCGCTCCGTCGCTACCTGCACGTGTCAAACATTAAACAATACATTAAATAAAGTTTCAGTATTTTATGCTCTCATCTAGCTATTTTTTAAGCGGAAAAGTCTTGTTAGAGAATTATTTACATTATCATTTAATTTCACAATTTTCTCTCTCACCCTCATCAAAGAAATCTGTGTTGTGTATAAACTACATAGTATTTTAAATTAGTGCATGAATAACAGAAAAACATAGTACACATTGCTACAGTTTATAAATGTATTGTTAGGATTACACTTACCAGCTCCTGTCATATAGATCCCACGTGCAAGAGTCAGCACTAGAACTCGATTCAGCTCCTCACTTTCAGAGGAGACGAGCGACTTCGGTTCGGAAACTACTCTCGACATTTGCAACTGCACTCCAGAGCTGCCCAAACTCGTTATCAATCTTAACGCAGTACTTTCAAAACTGAAATTAAAATTATACATATTTATATGCACTTATATCTATACATATAATTTAAAAATTTTCTCTTTTTAGATGTCACTTACCATAGTTGCAATTGTGTTTGATTGGCTTGAGGGTATGCAGCCAAGGAGTGTATGTTAGACAAGAGGGTCACCCTATAGTGCGGCTGTACGTGGTGGATACGATACGAAAACATATCCAACAGGTTATGAAGAATACCCCAAGCATGAGATTTGAAAACATTCGGAAGTAGTTGATCTGAAACAAAAAATAAACATTATTTATCGTTACACAGAGTAATTTGAGCCTATTATTTTTAACACGATACTTCAAATGTTTCTAGTTTACTTACGTATAAAACCTTTGATCCCCATAGACTCAATTTCAGTATAAACCAGTAAACGGCTATAAGTCTCGACTAAAGCAGGTGCCATCATATTATTTCCTGGTATGTTACTCTTATTCTGAGCTAATTTAGCTACATGAGTAACAGTGGAGTGGATAAGTGACATTTTACAGTGCAAAGTCAGGCTGTCAAGTATGCACATGGACAATGGTACTGTAGGCAAAGGAGTAGTCGGATTTCCATTGGGCATAGCTTTCTGGCTCCCAAATAGCGTTTCTATGATTACACCCATCGGTCTGGCGAAATATTCCTGGTTTGTAGAATATGCATTGCACAGCAAAGCTATGCGGTAATCCGAGCCCATCAATGTTGGTGTGTTGTTTGACGTAAACAAATGCTGTAGGTACCTAGAAAGAAAATAACAACATAAGTTATGTTATCTGAGCAATATACTAACTTATTATAAACTTGAAGGAAGAAATAGATACATACTCATACTGTACTTTTAAATTTTGTGGCATTGACATCGTTTTGTGTTCAGTTTCGGCTTTCTTCAACAAGTGCATCCAAATACACACTACAGCCATCTGATGTGTGCAATGGGCCTTCGTGCAATCAGGCACGGGTAGAGGTTCTTTTTCAGGATACAGCAATTCATACAGTTTTATTATTGGCAAGAAATTGGATGACGGGTTTCTTTGAATACTTCCAGATATAAATTGTAGTAACACCCACATGAGGTGGTCTCTACCTTTTTTCATATCATGGCCAATCAATTTGCTGTGGAGACCCATTACGATGTTGGGGAAAGAAGCAAATCCAATGAGGATCAGGTATATGACTTGTGATGATAAATGAAGCCAACACCAATGTGATGAAGACATTTCATCATCTTCATTCTCTTGTTCGCTTTTTTCCATTGGCAGAATCATAAGTTCGACTAATTGATCTTCTAATGCTATACAGCGTTGCTTATGTTGCTTCTGGAGGCCAAGCATTGAACACATCATGTCTCTAGAGTATGGTTGTTGCAAAACATGTCTCAGCAATGAAATCTGGGGCTTTAGAAGTTCTTCATCATAAGGCAAATTACCCTTTAGGGAGAACTTTAATGTTGTGGGATCTAGTCGCCATGGATTTACAAGATGATCTGCATAGCCCGAAAACTCAACAACAGGTAACATTTGTGAATGTCCAATAATAGAAACCATTTGAGCACATGGTTTAAAACTCTCCACAAAGCTAGAGAGAAGTTTTGCCAGTTGCTAAAACAAAAAGAATGAATATTAGAATTTTACATAACATTAATATTCAGGATGTTAAGAGTATATTTCAATACTAATACATACCCAGTGTGGCCAATGGTTATTACCAGGGTAGTCCTTTTGAATTTCAGTGACAATGAAATATGCAGGTAATAAAGAAGCATTCCTGTCAAATATATATTCGATTACACTGTACAATGCTTTCAATTGGGGCATTGTACTTGAGTTTAGCCTGACTGGTAATGTGTGAGCCTTTTCTCTGCATCCCTAAAAAATAAAATACAGACATCAATACTTACAAAAATACGTTCATCATGTGGAATCATTTATAAGGGCATCACTTACTTTCATTATTTCCCTCACACCTTTATAGTCTACTCCTCCAATAATCCTCTTGATTAAATTGAAACTTTCAATCCAAAAATCAGCATTTTGATAGGTTAGTTTTTCATTGGTCAAAATACAATCACATAACATTCTGTAACAAAATAATTATAATATTGTGAACACCTTGCTCCACATCTAGTGTTGTGTGGTGAAATGTTAAAACCTAAAAGTAGCAAAGTAGCACCCACTTAGCACAACTTATGGGATACATGATGTGATAACAGTCGTAATCTGACTAATACTACTATCTAATCTGAGAAAAGCACTGTGACAAGCAAGAATACAAAAGCACCAGTAATGCAATACATACCGAGCCTGAATAACATTTGTGTTCACCAAATTCTCTAAGAGAACAAGCAGCTGTTTCATTTTGTAACGGTTAGTTAGCACAGCCGTAGGAGTCAGGTACTGGCGTAGAGCTGATTCCTGCATCTCCGTGCTCAAATGGGTCATGATGCCACTAAGTCTCTTCTGATACATTCCTAACATCTCATTTTCTTCCTCTGGTTTATGAACTAAGAAGCAACTGAATGCTTCTTCTACTGCTACAACTCTCTGAAAACAAAAATTATTACATTATTTTTACTTTTATATTTTGTTTGTAATGTACATAACAAACAAAATGTAAAAGTATGTACTTATGGCATTTTAGTGCCAACTCACTTTTAATAAAAATATTATGCTATTGTAAATGAAATATAATTATAGTTATTAGTGTTTGATATTGCAAGTTTTCAAATGAATGAGTATGTCATTATCATTTTACTAGTAATTATCTTAACATTCAAAATAGGTCACAAGGTGATTACTTATGCTTTTCGGAATAAGAATAAGAACATTTATTTGCATGTATACAGCAGATTGTAGTATACAGCAGATTTTGCTGTTCAAAAGGTATTAAAGGGAAATGCTTGTTTCTAACACATCTATGCAAATTGAGTAAACTCCAATAGTGTCCCTTGAGGTCTAAACAGTATGAAAATGTATATCATCTGCAATAATGCAACACAGTTAATTTAAATTGTCAAACACCAAGCGGTCACCGGTGACCGCAACCTATTGTTCTTTAATTGTGTCTATAAATATGGTACTCGACGAGTTAATTGACTTATTGACTGCATTTAAACTACACAATTGCAGTAAGAGTATAGTTGTAATACAAACCATCTGCCTGGATCCTAAACATGTTTATGATACAAATATAGTAGGTATGACAGAGTAGAGTACTAAATGTGATGCATCAATTTTGGTGAATAAACCATAATAACAAATTCATGTAGGTACTATAATATTCATATTAATATAATATTTAAAACTTACCAAAATCTCGCTAACAATACTAGCGACCGGGGAATCTGACATCTTTGTGATTTTATAATATTCGCTTGATTTAAATCACTTCACACTCTAACAAATAGATCAGACGATCATAATTAATGATATTGAGACATGGCACCACAACATTAACAGTTTGCCGTACAAACAGGTGCTCAAATCATCTACGCTAGGTTACACCAGAACAATCAATTTATACAAATGTTCCGATATGTTGAGGAAGTTCATTCGAATCTTAGGACAACAACATTATGAATATAAGCTTAATAACAGCTTAAAAGTTTAATAAAACACAATTAAAAAAGAATGCATCCAAGTTTTGTAAGGGCAAGCTGGCTCAGATTGACAGAAACACAAATGTATGTAATGCGAGTGATGTGACAACCAGTCAGCAGTGACATGACACCATAGTGACATGACAGATGACACTGACAATAAGTTTGGTTTTGTTTTGACCAATAAAATATTTGTTTATTTATTTTGTTTTGTATTTTGAGATTTATTTCAATAAAAACTTAAATAAAATTAATACTAACTATTACTAAATTAAATATATACAACTTAAGATAAAAATAAATAAGTAAAAACAAATACATACTAGGTATTTTATTTGTTTTTACTAAATTATGTACATTTAAAGAAAAGTCATTTTTACATCAAAATCCAAACACAGATCGAATAGTGGAGCTCAAGAAAAAACCGAGGAGCTATTATTATCTATTTTCAAAAATTTCAAACAAATATAAAAAAAAAATATTTTTGAAAGAGCTTCCTATGGTACCTAAACTACCGATAACTACTCCTAACAACGTACACAACGTTCCCATCATATTGTTAGGAATCAAAATAGGACCGCACAGTTGTGTGAACTCTGAAATATAAATTCAGATGCAAAATGCTAAAAAGAGCGTGATGCAAAACATGACTGCCCAGGTCATCCGCATCTTAGACATCAAGACATGTCGCGCGAGGTGTCACAGGGATCGGTCCTCGGTTTACCCGTATCTCTATAGTGTCTACCCAAGTGCCTATAGAGGCGGCGGCATCACAACATAGTATAAAACAAAGTCGTTATCCGCCGTCTGTCTGTGTGCTATATTTAAAACTACGCAACGGATTTTGATGCGGTTTTTTTTAAATAGATAGATTGATTCTTATTGTAGGTTTATATGTATAATACATGTCGTCGGTCGCTAGTAGATATAATAATCACAAAAAATTCGGAACACCCTTAAATTCTCGTTTTGTAGGTTTAATCGACTACAACTTGGTACTGCGCATCGACCCGACCCGCACGGCGCGGCGTCAGCGCGATTTGCTACATTGACGACAAGCTGGTGCTACCGCGCCTCGAGGTGACGCTCTATAAGTCCGACGCCATGTGTTTTTAGCCGCTGGAATAAGCCACCTCTAAGTGGGTCCCCCAGATAACGGCAGGAGGGGTTTCCATCGGCATTGAAGTGACACTGAAGTACACCTAGGACTCGTAATAATGTAGCTTGTAATAAGCTTGCACTGTTTTGTTGAAGAGGCGAATGAAATTCAAAACAATTATTGTCTGGGTGGTAAACACTACATATTAGTGCCAACCGCCACCCCAGTGGCAAGCTCGAAGAGGTCGCAGATGGGAATAAAGGAAGAACTGGACCACCATTCCTAGATCAAAAAAGTTAGGGAATGACTTCTTCTATAGCCCTGTTCGATCAGACCCATACTTCCAGGAATACCCTGCATTATAGAAAAATCGAGTATTAACTTAATTATATATTTGACTGTCATACATTTTAAAAACAGACACCATCGCCATTCGAGACTCAAATTGGCGCCATCGCCAAAGCTGTCCAGTATGAGTTGGATGCTTCAGAGTCGTCAGCGGTTAACGGGTCAAACAAAGAGTGCATAAGAGATAAAACTACAATTTTATTTTGTTAATAATTTATTTATGAAAAAAGTTGTCAAAAATAGTATGCGCCCCAAAAAGCAGTTCACTTAGATTTTAAAAAGACAATACAACCATCACAATAACATCCAAAACAATACAATTTATTTAGATCACAAATTAAATGTCTCTTGAGTTTCATAAATATTTTTTATACAAAGATAAAGAAATTTGTCACCAAATACATTATTTATAATATGAACTTGATATCCTGCATTTAGCAATAAAACAACTGTTGTCACGTAAAATAATTTCAAAGGGTTAAAGTATTAGGAGAATAGTAGTAGGAAAGGATCATCGACGGCTTACCATATAGACAACGCATTTTGGGCATAGGCTGGAAACAGGGCTGACTGTACGTCCGAACATCAGCCCGGTCATTATTGACAGCGCTTACCGTCTGTTGGTGCAGTCAACTAATAACTTCGCTGACGGCGGATTGTAACGGGTGTTTAAATTAGTTTGTCGTAGATTTTAGGCAATGAGGTAAGACGTCGATGGAGAAGATAAACGCTTTACAATTGCGGTTTATTTTAACGGCGATTTAACTTTATAACGATAAATGCACTTGATGGCTTTATCAAGTCACATCTTTGAATACGAAAATTGTTCGTTGTTCCAATGCTAAAGATAAACGAGTATTTGGTGACGAATTATTTTTATTCTTAACTACCTAAAAGATTTATATACCTTTAAAAATAACAACGAAATACGGAATGATTATATCATCACGTCACTTCATTAACTACCCAAAGATAAAGTAAATAGGAATGATTTTGAAAAATGTAAATAATAATCAAAAATATATCCTTTTTTCCTTAAAAAAGGCACATCCACAATAATAAGATGCTCTAGCACCATGTTGTAAGAACGTGACCGAATGCGTTGCATATACCAGCCACCGTATTCACGTTATAGATAAGCGATTGTAGCATATAAAAAACAGCATAAATTAACAAATTGTACCCACATTACACAAAAATGGACTTATTGTATGTTATTTCTGGTCCCTACATAGGTAACAATATAACAATAATTTAGTTATTGTATGTTGAAGCAGACACGTTGCCACCATGGCCAGTCCAATTTGTATGTACGAATTGTCCTGGCTTGGTAATAAGTTCGTAGGTGTGCGCGCCGAAATAGTCCCTTTGAGCCTGAAATAAAATCATTTACGTTAAAGATTTTTAATAAATACCTATATGGCTATATTCTGATTTATGTAAAAGCCTAATAAGTGTAGATTTACATCCCAAACTCGGGAGAAGTGTATGACACGGAAAATGAATTCCTTTTCCCTTAGTCACGGCATCACGCGTGAATGGCTGGACTGATTTCTCTAATCATTTTTTTGTTGTATTTGTTTTTATTAGGAGAAGGTTCTTAAGACAGAAACGATCCTGAAATACCTACGGGAACGGGAGTAAACGGGATTGCGCGTTCGAAATCGGAAGCTAGTCATAATATACATTTCATTATAGAAACTATGGAATCATAATTTATAATCTTTATTGCGATGTGTATTCTGACCTGGAGCATGTTAGCTGGGAGTACAGCAGATCTATAGCCGTCGTAGAAGGCGAGGGCGGCGGAGAAAGCGGGCGCGGGAACACCGACGAGTGCTGTCTGTGCTACCACCTGCCGCAAAGACTGCTGGGAACCACTGATGCGTTCACAGAAGTATGGGTCCAATAGCAGGTTCGTCAGCTGAGGGTTCTTAGTGAACGCGTCCTGTTAAATAGCGAAATCATTCGTTAACACATATTATTATGTATGGTATGCTTAAATTTCTTTTGATTTATTTCGTTATGCGATCCAAGACAGTTATTTATGCCCTTGGGACACGCGAGACTCTGGCTGCAAGGAGTTGCAGCGGTTGGCGGGTTTATCTCATAAAAATGGAAATCGGACAATGGATGTTGCAAAATATGAAAATACTGTCAATCACAAATACGCAATCTATTTGTCCACAAACAATTTTAAAAATATTCTTTCGTTTATCATTAATATTAATTTATTGCACGTAGATATTTTGAATATATGTACTCAACATCGACGTTGTACCCCAAGACGTCGATAAGTATAAAGTATGTATTTTTTAGTATGAAAAATCCGAGCACATTATGTTAATTAAAACATAACTAGGTATGTACTAATGACATTGTATCGTTTGAATGTCGTAGTGGTCACGTTATCTTAGAGGTTACAGATTATATATTATTTTCGTTGCTATGTATCAGATTGAAACTGAAACTGAAAACTCACGCACAATCGATCACAAAATTTCATTAGATCATTTTATAAGTCCAAAACATTAATTGGAAGTATTGAAGCTGGTCTCTGGATTTATAACATTATTTAGCTTAGGTCAATAAAGCAAAACACAACATGATTTAACCTATTGCAGATATTTAACTGGTTACGAAGGAATACGAAATAAAAAAAATTTAAACGTCGTCTTTTATACTAGAAGTAGATAAGCTAAAACGGCTGAATAGAGACAGAATAGGTGTAAATAGGTACTGGGACCTACTTCTAGCATAGTATGTGCATGCTTCTAGCATACCCCTCTACCATTTTATGTGTTTTATGATAGTAAAGTACCATATTTACCGCCAAAGTATAACACCAGAAGCAGAAAAACCAATTTCACCTGTCACATCACCCTATTTTACCGTTGACCTTAATAAGAGGTGTGGCTCTAAAAAACCTTGGCTTAAGAATTGGAATAACAATATACTTAGATTGAGAGTATCTATCATTAATGTTTGTTGAAGTACACATCTATTTTCTTACCTTGATGTTGCCAAGGAACGCGCTTCTGATAATGCAGCCGCCACGCCACATCAGAGCTATGCTGCCATAGTTCAAGTTCCATTGGTTTGCCTGTAAGAACAAAGAGTACATATCTATATTATTATACTTACCAGTAACATAATTATAACCTTTTAACTTTCATACAAAATACGGACAAAATCGAGTTTTTTTTATAGTTACAGTATTTACAAATTTGAAATTCGTATTCGTTAAAAGCTTCGCCATTCTACGAATGATCGACGAAATATACTATACCCGCGAATGAGATATTTTGATTCGTGCCCTTAGATTAGTGTCCGAAAAACCAAGACACGAAACGAGTAACAATTATGCGATTTGTTTACATACTGGCAGCTCGATAAATTAACTAAAAGATTACAGGACACCATTTGTTCCTATTTAAGTAATTGTAAAGCATAAATAACTCATACAATTACTTTTTGTTCTACATCGTAACTCTAATCTAACGTAATCTACGCCATGCCCCTGTATGTAACCATTACTTACAATAATGCTATTATAATAATTAATCTTATTTCTTGCAATGTCACACCTGGGAACGCGTCACTTATCGCATCTCATCAAGATTATTTTAACAGTTTGTAATGTATCAGCAACTATTATATTTCAATAAATGAATCCGTCACGTAATCTTCCCTAAAATCTGCTGACAAAGATTAGATTCTCTTTAAAAAAGCAATCATTTCCAATTGCTTTAATGTACTGTCTTTACCGATTTTCAATATGAATGGGTTAACAAATGTTTCTAAGTACCCAAACAGAGTAGTATTTAATTCTGATAATTCAGAATTCCAAAGAATCCTTCCAAAATCGAGATTGAGGCAAAATGGATAGCGTCATAATATGCCTACCTTGGCGGCCTCACGGAGTAGCATGAAGCCTTGCGCGTACGATATCAACTTGCTAGCATAAAGAGCTTTACGCAGGTGTTCCAGGAACTGTTTCTTATCACCACTGAATTTGGTGGTAGATCCAGGCAATACCTTGCTTGCCTTAACTCGCTCATCTGGATAATCAAAACAATACGGTATCATTAGTCATAGTCATTTAATATTTATGTAATATTAGATCTAAGGGTACCTAATTTTTAATATTATTATGTATTGATTCTTTCTTGTTTATATATATAACCTTAATCAACCTTATTTAGGTAATACTGCATTAAAGCAATCAGTTGGATAAAAAAACTGCTTTGATAGCTACATTGTCGTAATATTTTAAATTAATTTTATGTTTACTAACCTTTAAGGGCTGAAAGACAGCGAGCGAACACTGCCTCACCAATAAGGGTTACAGGTACACCATACTCTAGGGCTGCGATACCAGTCCACTTTCCTGTGCCCTTCTGTCCCGCTGTGTCGCGAATCTTCGGCAGTAAATATTTACCTGTACGTTATTAGCATTGTTATTTTATTATTGTGACTTCAAAAGTGTAATAAATTAGTATTATTGGTCTAAGAAACTTACCATCCGAATCCTTGAATTTTAAGATATCCCTTGATATTTCGATCAAGAATGAGTCTAGCTCGCCTTTGTTCCATTCTTCAAATACTTCAGCCATTTCACCTTGCTCCATACCTTTTAATCAAAATAATATTGTTATAAAAATAGGACACCTGTACATACAGTGTTGCAGGTGTCATGGAGACATCATAAATCAATATTATAGATTGTTATGGATCAGTTCATTATAAATGAATCTATTGCTATATTATTATTAATAAGGCTTTATTTTGCTGATGCTGTGAAGCTGACCTAAATTTCAATAAACTATTTTCAATTAAATAATAAACAGTACCTAGGACATCCTTCATCAGATTGTAAGCTTCACAAATGAGCTGCATGTCACCATACTCGATACCGTTGTGGACCATTTTGACGAAATGGCCAGCGCCATCCTCACCCACCCAATCGCAACAAGGCTCATCATTGGCTTTCGCGCATATAGCCTGAAACAATTTTTGTATCATTGTTTTATACTTTATTTTATCCAGTACTTTTACTAGACTATTCATTCACTTTATAACTTGATTATCAAACATATTCAAAGCAAGTAAGCTTACGCTATGGTTGACAAGCCGTAAGTGGCATTTAATAAATGTTAATGAGCATGATCTCAAGCTAAATAACAATTTGTGCAATGCAAACAATTTGTTCATTGACAGCTATTTAAAAATACTATGATTAGAGTAGTAAAATCTCATTGGTAAAGATTAGGATTTAAAACAGCATTTATTAAAATAAGTATGTATTGGCAAATGGGTATACCTGGAATATTGGCTTAACATGAGGCCAAGCAGCAGCGTGTCCACCAGGCATCAGGGAAGGTCCATAACGAGCTCCATCTTCACCACCACTCACCTGAACAAAGAAATGTTGTATTTTCAAATGTGGGACCCAGAATCCTTAAAATGTGGTTATATTAAAGAGACTGCAAGAACATGTTAACCTTGATTTATTGACATTTATTGACGGACACATTATTATTTTTAACTGTCTAATAATGTCACATACACATGACACCCGCACCCGGAACAGCAATTTGTGGATCACACAAAAAGTTGTTTCGTGCGGAAATCAAACCAATGATACTCAAGCTACAAGTCATATTAAAGCCAACGGCTAAATAAAATGAACCTGTAATGGTTTAATTTTAAATGTAATGACTCATACAATGTACTTACACCCATTCCCACATAAAGAACACCAGATGAAGCAAGTTCTTTGCACCAACGCTGTGTGTCTATGTACTGTGAGTTTCCACCGTCAATTATAATGTCGCCTTTGTCAAGAAGGGGCACTAGCTTTCGAACAAACTCGTCTACAGCCGATCCAGCTATAAAACAAAATCACACATTAATTTTGTTGCTTTGTGAAAGTGTTTGGATCTTAAAGAAATGGTATTTTAGACTGTCGTGTTTTTCATTTTGTGTCATGTAAGAATGTCGCGGGGCTCATCGAAACCTGGCAAGTACCAATGTGACTATTTCTGAGATATGTGTAGGTACTTTCTTTGATTATTTTGACAGCACCGACAAATGATGAAGGAAAACATCGTAAAGAAACTTGGGACTTCCAATTTCCATTAATAAGTTTGAAATCGCCAACCCACAATGAGCAAGTATGGTAATTAATGCTCAAATAAAACATTCTCCGTGTGAGAAGAGGCTTTATTGGGCTGAAGGTGTAGTTATGTTGTGTGACTTCATTTTGCTATGTTACCTTTGTAATAATTGCAATAATATTAATTACTGCAGAATATCTATCAAACAATCAAACAAAGCATTATGTAGTTTGGAATATTGATTCCAAACTACATAGTGCTGCTGTAAAGCTATCAAAAAAATCTTAATGTTTCTTTCCACAAACTGGGTATTGGTTCTAAAATAATTCGCTAGAAAGTCACACTTGCAATACCAAATGATTTCAGAAAAAGGCAAAGTAAGTTAAGATTACAATAGATTTGTAAGTATTGAAGTGTTACAAAATAAAGTACATATGTGATACCGTGAGTGAACAATTATTTAACAGAAAAGATTTATTGCCTCACCCTTCACAAGCAACATAACTTTTCTTGGTTTCTTGAGTTTGGCCACCATATCTTCCAGTGAAGTAGCGCCAATGATTTTAGTTCCCTTAGCTTCATTTTTGAGAAATTCTTCCACCTACAATGTTATTGTATACAATTTTACTTAATATTATAAATGTAAATGTTTGTGCCATGTATATATTTGTTACTTAATTACATAAAAAAGGCTGGAGGAATAGGGATGAAATTAGTTACTGGGGTAGATTATTACACAATCAATAACCCTAGAGCTAAATTTAAATACAAACTTTCTTGCATTTTCATTTATTAATGTTTTACATAGTATACTTTTGCTTAATAAGAACTTTGGAAAATTGGTTGGTATTCTTTACTTATCTAGTAGATAATATTATACCTTGGCTACAGTTCTGTTATACGCGCACACAACAAATCCTTTGCTGTCCATGTTCAGAATTAAATTCTGGCCCATAACTGCTAGCCCAATAAGAGCAATGTCTGCTTTAGCCCTGAAAAAATATCACTTTGATATCTTAACATAATACATATTGTGTGTAGTACTGTGCAAGTAGTACTTCATAGAATCCAGTACCTACATAATGAAAGTCATGTATGTTCACCTTCAAATAACCTTGTGGCTACACTTGAAAACCCAAGTTACAAACACTTTATGACAATCAGTAGATAAGTTGTAAGTGTCCATGATTTTCAAATTCAATTCTTTATTTATTTTAATTTTTGTAACATTTCCTTTGAAATAGACTAAAAAAATATGTACTATTGGTTACATTTGTACAATAACCTTTAGTCCCATGTATGGCTTGTATAATACTTTATATAAAAACAAATGTTTACAATCAGACATTTTTCTGTATGTTTTCCATGACAAGTGCAATTTTTAAGGCAAAACATGAACACTAAAAAATGTAACCTTAAATAACTAAGAAACTCGATCAAGGTCTCAAAGAAAGTCAATAACGAGGACATAAATGTAGCAATAACCTTTAAAATTCTTAAGTTTATTTTACATTTTTTATCACATTAATTTGCACCATTATTAAATATTAGGTGAATAGCTATAAAAATCCAAGTCATGCTTATTATACCAGATACTTAGAATAGTAAGAGTCCGAAATACTTACTGTGCCATTCTTGTAAGATTATTTTTTACAATGGTTATATTTTTTTAGATAGTTGCTTTTGACGTATTTCTATTGTAAAATAAACTTGAAAACTTTTTAACTACTTTACGCAGTGAGTGTTAAAAGTAAACACGACAGACTTGTTCCCAACTTCTTTGACAAATGATTATGATTGAAATTTGCAAGTTGAAATTCGAAGTAAGAATGACAGTTACAGTTTCACAGCAATGAACGGTGACGGTGAATGATGAACTATACTATCAACTTTACTATTCCTAAAGTTCGTTTTTAGGGTTCCGTACTCAGAAAGTAAATATGGGATTACTAATTAATTTACTAGTCTATAACTCCGCTGTCCATCTGTGTTTGTCACCCTCTGGTGATACAGTCTCTCCATACCAGGCTTTTTATAGCCTTGTATGGAGATTTTATAATAATACTAGCTTTTACCCGCGGCATCGCTCGCGTCACAACAGGACAAAAATTAGCCTATGTGACCTATACCAATACACACAGCGCCATCTATACCAATAATTTCCTTTTCCCTCGAGAACATCAAATTTTTTCGGGATAAAAAGTACCCTATTGTTTAATCCAGAATTTTAACTTTACGTCTGCAAAATTTCAAAGCAATCTGTTTAGTAGTTACGGCGTGAACACGGAACAAACAAACAAACTCACTTTCCGATTTATAATATTATAGTAAGGAAATAAGGATTGCCACTGCAACAAACAACAAATACTTTTAAAAACTAAATGAAATAATTACTTGGTCCTTCTGGTGATTATTTTTCTATTTCTAATTGATTTGAATAGGTAATAGGCTGTATCTCATGAAAAGCTAAATAGTTGAAAGGATAGATAATGTATTTTTATTGCTACTAGGTATAGCTAATTAAGTACGTATTCACGAAAAGCTTCCACCCAACAAAGTTGATTTTAAAATGGTGTGTAACGTGCGCACAACATACAGAACCCTTCGCGTGCGAGTTCAATTCGCAATTGGCAGATTTTTTACACTATGTGTAAAATTACATTTTAGTGTGACTATTCAAATTAGGAGATAGAGTAGCCGGTTCTCATTTTTTAGTTTACTATGATAGGGATCAATGGTTTTTTCGAATGTAGGAAGGTGTTTGACCGCTATTGTGCTGTGGCGTTTTAATAAATTAATGAGTTAAAAAATACCATTTGTAAATTTTCTATACGAAGTACATAACACAATACATTTTTATCATAAATTTTCACACAAGTTCGATAAACCGGTACCTATCGTATTTTAGGAGCGGTCACGCCCAAGAATAAACCGATATTGTAAGGTACCTAGTATGGATTGTATAGTCTATGATAATACATCACAGCTAAAGGAGTACATGGGAAAAGAGATGCCACTGATCAAAATCTAAGACACAATTTGAAACGCCATCTGAATTTTGCATCCGAGTATGTTCTATTATTAAATTTTATAGACAATCAAGTATAGTTAATGCGAACACTACCAACTTTAATTAATGTACCAACCTACAAAAGAAGTTGCCTAATATTTTAAATTGGTTTGCTTTTTATGCGGTTAATATTTAACAGCTACTGCTGTTTGTAAATTTAAGTTATTAGCATTAGATATTTTCTATGTACCTATCGTGCTAAAAAATCACCAGGTATAGACATTGCCAGTCCTTTTAATATGTATAATCTTGCAACAGTGACACGGAACATTAGTTTTGACAACAATTGGTTTCAGTTGCAAATACCAGAGGGAACTAACAGTACGATTTCGTTATCTGTGGTCGGCTCTATGAGTGACGACCCCAACACTGCGACTGCTGCACCCTAAAAACTACTTGTAATATCAAATTAATATTTTTATTGAATTGATTCATTTGATAGTTGGTATTAATATTTTAGAGATTTGTATAATGTTTCTGATAATTAGTGTCAATATCGTCCATTACTGAAAAGCGTATATAAAATAAAATTACTTGTTAGTTTGGGATTTCTTGTGTTTGGTTGTAGCCAGAATGTCTACCAACTACACAGACTCTGTGAATAAGTTTGGCAAAGATGCTGCTCGGGCTGCGTGTAAGAAGTGCGGTTACGTTGGGCACCTTACATTCCAATGCAGGAACTTTTTAAAGGTAAAAATATTTAGGTATAATTTCATTTCAGGCAAACCTATGTTCCACGCCCTGTAATGATACTTATTCACAGACAATTGAGACAATGTATAATAAACGCCTTCAATCAACGAACATTAAGTATAGATTAATGAAGTGATACAGGCAGGTCCCTCCCCAATGGGGATTGTGGGGACAAAGGCTGGCTACACACTTGTAACTTAACTGATGTTGTGGTTGTCCATGGCCAGTGCTGATTACATACCCTTAAAAACATTTATTTTTCGCTTCTAGTTAAAATTTATAAGATTGTTCACAAAACTTAAGATATTTCTTTCTTACCAACAGGTCGATCCTAATAAAGAGATTGTGCTGGATGTTAGCAGTACGAGCAGTGGTACTGAGGAGGAGGACATTGCTACACCACTGCAGCGGCTCCAAAAAGCAGAACAGCGACAGAAGTTGCAAGAGAAGCTGCAGAAAGCCAAGAGGAAGAAGAATAGCAAAAGTAAAAAGAGGAGGATGTCTCGGTATGTGTCTTAGTACAAGCTCTTAAATAAGCACTCAAGCAACTTGCTTGAGTGCAATTTGGTAGTGCCAATAGTAATAAAAGACTGCACAGTTGGCGCAGTAGCTAAATGACGGGCTTCTGTGCAATGCAGCACAGGCACAGTTCCATTCCCGCATCGGCCTGAAAATGGCATTTTCTGGGTAAAATTATTATTAGCCTGGAGTCAGGAAATTTGACATTGCTTCTATACACCATGCTTCAGAAAATATGTTAAGCTATTGATCCTGCACCTGACTTCTCTGATTGTATCGGTCTACTGTCCTATTGGGTTCAGAGAGTGAGTGAATAAAGAGTACAGCTGCACACATATACTCCTGCATTGTGGGCTAGTCTAGTTAGACTTGCCACTGTGATTGAAATCAATGAGAAGGATTGATATCAAATTATTGTTTGAGGCTATACATGTTGTTATAAGTTGTTCTCTTTATGATTGCAGGTCACCTAGCACCTCTTCAACAACTTGTTCCACCTCAACAACCAGTACATCTACATCATCTACATCCAGCAGCGATTCAGAGAAAGAAAGCAGGAAAAGGAAACACAAGAAACAATCTAAGAACACTCATTCAAAGAGGGCTCTGGTCTAATCAGCAAATGCTTCTCAGTCAACATTGTTTTAACAGCTTTGAAAATCTATGACTGTCCATCATTCAATTTCAAATATTATTGTAGGTACATGTCCTTAAAAAAAAAGAACAGCAAAATACCACTTATTGTGACTTGCTGTAAGACTTACAAATGTCATTTCTGACTCATTACTTACAGTGTCAGAAATGAACTAATGTCAGAAATGATATTAGTTACACCTTAGTTTGTAAGTAATTATGAATTGAGTATTATTATTATACAAATGATATTAGTCATTCTTAACTCTCAATTCAAAAATGGGGTATAAATATTATAAGTTTAACATGGGTCTGTGTATTCTAGTCATTTTTAAATTGAAAAGAAAAAATGTATTACTTTATTATTTCTGTGATAAAAAATCGACTAATTATTTTTTAATGGTAATAACCTACAATCACCTTTTAAAATATTGGTGAACTTTTAGTTTTTAATATCCACAATCAGCCCATCAATCGACAATGGTTTTATTACACCATAAATTATTATTTATTTCATTAATAATCTACATGTAATTAATTAATCATAAATTAATGTGTTGTGTGACTATATACAAAAGAAAATTAATGACTTCTCATTCATATTATATTTAACAATTTTAATGATAAGGAAGTGTTTAATGTGTAATTGATAAAAGAAAACACATTCAAGTAAGTGTCTATAATGTAATGGCTAAATATAAAATATATCTATATACAACAACAACAACTGATTTACCTTTACTAGGAACTGAGATATAACTTTACATAACATAATATAGATTACATAGGTATGTATGATATATGACATATTTCATATAAACATAAGTAACGATTGTAGTTTGGTATCTTAACCACCTCTCTGAATGTTATATGTTGGTTGATGTGATTTGTAGCTAGAACAAAAACAGTTTCAATAATTACAGTGTGCTCAAATTTTTTTGCACCTAAGTAATAAACTTTATTAAATATTTATTGAGTTCCTCCTAAAACACACCTATGTATAAATTCATGACTTTGTCCGTCTTAGGAGTAGTGCCTGTGAAAAGTGAAACTGTTGTGGTGTACTGTAGAGTGATCGATCGCAAGCATGAATGCTGAGCATGGGGTTTCGGATTAACTGATCAGGCAGTTGTTATGGGTTTTTGTTTTTAGATGTTTTCGATTGTTGTAATACAGTCTGGAATAAGGCATGATACTATTTACAACATAGCTGACAAAAAGTTGGCCTTGCATTGAATAATATAATTTAGCACCTCTGTCTACTTCATCAGGAAAAACGATGTTGATTTATTATGTATAAAGAATCGCGAGCATCACTTGATCCGCATTGGCATTTATAAATCTCCAGATATGAAGAACTTGTAATAATTTATCTTAGAACTGAATATTTATTGCATAACTACCATGTACTACCACAAACTTTCGCATTTATAGGATAAAATATATAAATGTATGCATGCAGTAATTAACGTTAATAATAAGGAACTTGTAGATGTTTACTATGAGGATTTAGAAAATAAACTTATTCAATACATTTTTGTGTTTTTATTTATTTATTATTTATGTACATACATACTTATAACATAAATGACAAATATATAGGGTGTCCAGCAAATAGTGCACAGCAAAATAATGTATATATTATTGAATCTTAGTATTGATTATTGAATTTTAGTACCTATAGATGATACATTGGTACCATCTATACTAAAACTAGCTTCTGCCCGCGACTTCGTACGCGTAATCCCTTTTTTTCCGTCTCCATTCGTGATTTTCGGTAAAAAGTAAAAAAAAAATTGCTCAAAAAGTCCTATGTCGGTCTCCTGGCTCTAACCTACCTCCCTACCAATTTTCAGCCAAATCTATTCTGCCGTTCTTGAGTTATAAATGGTGTAACTAACACGACTTTCTTTTATATATATAGATTAAACTGAATGTGTTAATCTTCAGAACATCCGTTCGGGATTAAATTATTTTTTTCTTTTTTGTGTTAGATAGTCCATATTGAGAGTGATAAACATCACGCTACGATAAATACGAGCCGAGTAGGAGCAGCTAGTAATAATATGTCTACAATACGAATGAAGTTCATAAAAGTATATAACAATTAAGAGACACAATACTTTAGGTTCCCCAGTATTTGATCATATTATACATACTTATACGTAAAATGAATAGAATTTTTAAAAATGACACATAGTTACCCTTAATAAAACTATTCACATCTCTGGTAAATGTTTCTCAATCCAATCCTTGATGAGCCTGACTCCTCGTCTGTTTAACGAGTGTCCCAATCTCTCCATTATATGGAACTCTCCTTGCACACCATGTTCCTTGAGTAAATTAAATGTATCCTTCGCCCATGACAAATCTACCAAGTCATCAATATCACCGTGTATTTGAAGTAAAGGTGGCACTGTAACAAATATTAGCTGAACTCTGGTTTGCCAAAATGTGAATTTTAAGTTGAATGGGCAGGCTTGTTCTGGTAGATCTCACCTCTTCAGTTAGGTACGTATGCTGCTTTACAACAGGATAAGGTAAAAGATACTTCTACCTGTGCTAGATGCCCTGTACATTACTTAAACTAATTTTGGTGAACATTAAAGTATCTAAAAGTCATTGGCTCATTGATGGCTTACTTCGATCAGTATCATCTCTGAGGTTTATTATTGGGTAAGGTTTATCTATATCTATAACCATTCGGTACCCTTGTCACATTACTTAAATATCCAATAGAACTTTAGTAAAGCTTATTCAAATTCTTCTTGCCCTTTTGTGTGAAAAACATAGCTATGATAAGTAAAACAGTAGGTATTCATTTTTCGATATTATTTTATTTTATTACCAAAAGTAATATTATACTTACATTTCATTCCTTTTACTTGTTTGACTTCATCATACACACATGAATTATCGTTTAAAAATGAGCTGAAGGCAAATGCTGCAGCTATGTTACGATCCCATCTATAAGCAGAATGCAAAGCAAGTGCGCCACCCATTGAAAAACCACCTAGAACATTAAATGAGTTTTTATATTACATTTTTCAAAAGGATATTCTCGTAAATTCCAACATCACCAGATACTAGTTATGAGAATACCTTATTAGGACCTCCTTTAAATCCTCTTTCCAATATTGCAATATACCTAATAAATATATGGCAATTAATTAGATAGACCTAATCGTGAAAAAACTTACACCTTTATATGACATTGCAGTCCACCTGATATTAATTTTGTGCAAAAACTTTACAAATAAATAATCACTTCTTACCGCTTACCATCAGGTGATTCGTCTGCTTGTTTGCCTCCTATTCCATAAAAAAATGTTTAGGTACTGCAACTTTAAGAACATTCTGAATAATCCAAATCTTACCAATTATTATTCTGTTACTAGGAATTCCAGCATCATTTTCTTTTTTTATGAGATTTTTTACTTCTGTTTCTATTTGTGCTATAGATTGTAACTTTTCTGGCACATTAATATTTATATCAGCCCGATCAAACCAAACATTACTCATTTGTCCACCTGCAGGAGTGTATGCCTGCAGTGGTGCAGTTGGATACAATACTTTAATATGTGGAAATGAAAAATTTGCCACCATGAGTCTCACCCATTCTTTCATATCAGCACCACAGGATCCTGACGACATAACATAAATTAGTGAGTATTTAAATAAATAAAATAAAATAATCACATCTTTAACTATCTGTAGCATCTAAGTTGTGAAATAGTCTGAAAAAATTATTACAGAACATTTTCTCAAACAAAAGGATAAGCGACACAGTTATTAAAATATTTAACTTTTAGTGTTAATTTTAAATGACGCCTATGGTAAGTCTGAAACGGTAAAAACAAAAAAGAAATGCGCTTGACCTAATTTTAGTTTGTTTACTAGTTCTAATCACCATATACACAATAATAATAATATTTTAGACACAGTTATCCCAAATTCATAGAACATAAGAAAATTATTTAAGTTTGAATGAAATATGCTTCTCTGTCAAAAAATGTACTATGACACTAGTGCACTTTTACCGTAGCACCTTAGTTTAGGTGCTACACCAACCCTTACTTACTTGTACTCTTAGGTGTTACTTATAAGTAAATGAAAACCAAAATGATGTTAGAGACGGCTGAAATGAAGGATTCCTCAAGATGTGCTGCAGTAGACACACACAAATACTAAAAAGGATGCGACACACTTTGTTATAGACAAACCTACTGTTTAATGTCCCACAGGCATTATAGAAATGTAAAAAAAAATTGTGTATTTGATGATTACAATTAGTAAATAAACTGTAAAGTAGGATAATAAAAAAGGGTCCAATGCATTTAGTTTTTGTTTTATCAGTTTTAGAGTTACCACTGGAATCATTTCAAATTTGACACTAAAAGTTAAATATTTAAATAACATTTCCGCCTATTACTTTGTTCGACAAAAATGTTGGAAAAGATCTGTTCTATAACCAAAGAGATACAAGATTATGCTCTAAAAACAAATCACCCTGAATATTAAAAAACCACATCAATACATTATCCTTTGCATAGTTTTAAGGATCTAAGCATACATAAGGATAGGCTGCTATCTGTTTGTCTGGGTCTATCTTCATTTTCTACTGTAAGTGAAAAATTTATTCTAAGCTATATGATGTGGTGTGGTGATGATAAATTATTGAACTGCTATTACCTGAACCATGGAAAAAGATAACTGTTCCTGTATGTTTCTGCCCGGTACATTGGGTCAAATGTAAGGCACCAAGTCTTGACATCTTAGTTTGTGTTTGATATTAATTTTGATCAGACTGTAGTATGATTCTTAACAAAAAAAAAAAAAAAAAAATGTAAAGGTTAGAGAGTATCCTTAGGAAGCATGCCAGTAACTAGAAAATTCTAAATCAAATAGGTAATATCTAACTAAATAAATTTATCAATAAAAGACTCAGGTTTTTCTGGTTTTTTTAGGGGATAAATCATCCTATGACTTCTCCCGCCGGGTGATGCGAGAGGAAGTGTCAGACTCTTACTGAGTCGGAAACCCTCTCTTCCTACTCCTGCACTTCGAGTTGGAGCCCCGGCAACCCGTTAGTCCTCCGTGGCTCCGTAAATATTCAATGGTAAGATATCTTACAAAACAGGTAGGTATACAATTTATTATATTTAGTACCTACTCTTTGAGCAATTTGTTTGTTGGTTAATTTGTTGGTTATAATTTCCGCTAAAATAATAAACTTTGTATTAACTTCAACTTTCTCTTAACTGCATAATAATAGTACGAGAGGGAAATATTAAATTGTTTGTTTGTTTTTCTGCATTGAATATGCTTGTAAAAAATTGGATTAATTTAAGAATATGTTTCACAAATTGTAAAACTTACTATAGGGAATAAAATAGGTTACTTTTTATTTCGTTTCTTTCAGGAATTCAGCCAATTATTCAAGATCGATTTAGGACATGGAAGAAGTCACGTATACAGTTTGTCTATTTATTAACTTCCCCTTACTGTTTATTATTAATGAAAAAAATGTTTGAGGAACTATAACTATCTCTAAAGAGTTAATCGTCACATAATAAAAAAAGAATAACTGTAACTCTGTTAGCTGACTGACAGCTGCCAAGCTGTCATTGCCATTGCCATGCCATGTAGTGAGGAGGGAGTAGTCACCATAGTGTAATATTTATCGCAAAGAGTATAATAAGTATACTTTATCGTATCAGTGGTGGTAACTGGTAAATGAGTGGTATGTGGTACTATTATATAAGATCGGTAAAACTAAGGTATATTGAGTACAAATAATTAGTTTGTAATAACTCAATCAGAAAATATTACGAATTTCAAGAACTTCCGAAATAGCGACTACTGCGTAGAGCTTTGACGAATTTATAACATTCAAAAATTCGAACTCCCACATTATAAAAGTCGTTTTTTTATATAGAATTTGTATACCTACTTTTAAAGATGAAATATAAAAAATCGAATCATTATATTTATTTTATTTTTTAAAATTCTAGTTAAAAATACGATTTTCAAGAAGTTTACATAACTATGAAGTTGAAGCACTGTTATGTTATCATTCGAAAATTTTGAAATTAAAATGGCGGCCTTTTCGAATAATTTAACGTTGTTTGTTAAATATTCGATTCATTTTTTAGTACCTACCTATAAAGATAAATTTGAAAATTATAAGTATCTAAGATAGTATTGAATTGATATTATGAATTCATTGTTTACGTGGACATTCCAGGATGTTCATACGTTGTATCGGTACGGTACGGTACGGCAGGCCAACCTAGCATTTTCAGTTACATAAAAAATATCTACAGAATATTACGTGTCGCCACAACATAAAGTCGAAAATCTAATGAATAATTTTGACAGATTGGAATAGGTTGAGCTGCTGGCCACTGAACCTTAGACTCTAAGGTCTATGTACAGTGGCAGTGGTGTACAGTTACTATAATCTATTAAATATATATATAAATAAACTCTTTTTTTTACTTTCATTTTATTTAATAGTTTAGTTGTAGTTATTTTAAGTTGTAAATATTTATGTAGTATATATTTAATAATAGGCTTTTAATTGATTAAATAAAGTTTAAATAAATAAAATATCCGGTTACTTAGTTAAAACAGATTTTTTCTTCTTACAAAATAAATAAATTTTATTTAGGTATACATTTTAAATCTATATGTAGATAAAGCGATCATTTTATAAGGAGCGGTGACATAGAGACCTCTTTTTCCTAAACTTAACTCTTATTGCGTGAACATACAGATAGACAGACAGACAAAATATTTTTTTCCACACTGTTTTGGGTTTGTTGTCTATCAAGTAACACCCCCTACTATTTATTTTTTTAATATGTTCAATGTAGAGAATCTTATCAGTCAACTGACTAGAGAACAGAAAAAGAGCATTTATCTCGAAACAATATTTTCAAGACTTGTGTACTTACAGTTTGGCAACAAAGAGTTTGCGCAGTGAGATCTGGAACTTCTACAATGTTATTATATGTAGAGATATAGTTATAGGCTATAAAACATCACGATACCTACCATCTTATTTTGTATTGTCAAAAATATTAAAATTGTTCCTCTCTTAAAAGTTATCTGCTAGTTAAGTTATTAGTTTTCGTGCTAGGCACGCAGGCGCATGGTGTTGAAAAAATTGGCCCTAAGTTAGACAATATATTCTAATACCTAATAATGATCAAATCAAAGTTAAGGGTTTTATGTACCTATTGATCAACGTACTGCACAGTATTGTTGTTGAATCTGTGTAAGACTGAGAAATAAAAAAAACATGTATTTATTTAATACATTTATTTATTTTGCAAGGCTAAAATACAATGAAGCTTAAAAGAACAATCTTAATGCTTGGACTTCTTTTGCTTCTTCTTTTTCTTTTTTTCCATTTTCTCGAGCTTTCTGTAAATAAAAAGATAACAATTAATGGAAGTGTTAGTCAAGACTTGTCTAGATTTTATTAAGTATGTAGGTCGGGAAATGGAGGATGGACAACCCGTTCGAAACCGTGACACGACTCCCAATATCTAGTCTTCATACATTTATGTTTACAAAGTACAGCTTGGCAAAAAAGTGTTTGACCTGAATGGTCAAACACTTTTGATATTTGTTATCTTTATAGAGCTTAAAAAGAGGAGTTACTGACATTCAGACGGATGTTCAGATGATTGTTTATTCACGGAATATGGCCCAGTCCGAATCAATATTAGTTCCAGATGTCACTGCGTCAAACTCTTTTTTGCCAAACTGTAAGTATCTACATTATGTCTAATTAGATACAAGTCTGGAAAATATTGTTTTGAGATAAATGCTTTCATACATAACTACTTACTTAAGCAACTTCTTTTTCTGTTTTCTAGTCAGTTGACTGATAAGATCCTGTTCAGTGAGGCTGTTAGAATCATTATCTTCAATCCTTGTAGCAGACAGTGGTAGAGCTCCAGGTTTCATAACCAATCCAGTATCTCTCATCTGCTGCATAGTGTAGGAACATCAGGTTTTTCCTCTTGCTCCTCAGGAGCTGAGGTAGAAGCTTGCAGAGCACGAGCCTCGCCCATTGACAAGGAGTACATTGAACACTCTTTATCTATAGAAATGTTATAAAATTATTTTTCTATGCTGTGAAAATGGGGTATTCCACTTTGCGCACCTAAATGAAGCGCACCCAGACGAAGCGCACCTAAAGTATTCCACTTTGCGCACCTGTAGGTGCGCTTAAAATAAAAATTTTAAATAAATAGTTTTTCTATTCCACGAAGCGCACCTACGAATATCACTCGCATAGTGCGGAGATAAGAAATAAAAATATCGATATAAGAACATATTTATTATTTAAAAGACTAACTTAAATTTCTAACATCATTCAGTTTCATTATAATAATGTGACACAATATTGATATTTGTCCATGTTTTTATTGTAATTATGAAACAATCTGTGATTTTTTATGTTAAAGTAGACTATTTTTATTGTTCACTAAACATGTAGCTATAAGAAAACTTCAACAGATCTTTATGTAAAACCATATTTACAATGTTTTTTATATTTGTCCATGTTTTTATTGTAATTATGAAACAATCTGTGATTTTAAATAGTAAGATTACAAAATCAAAATGACAAATATTGTGTCACATTATTATAATGAAACTGATTGATGTTAGAAATTTAAGTTAGTCTTTTAAATAATAAATATGTTCTTATATCGATATTTTTATTTCTTAGTCTCCGCACTATGTGAGTGATATTCGTAGGTGCGCTTCGTGGAATAGAAAAACTATTTATTTAAAATTTTTATTTTAAGCGCACCTACAGGTGCGCAAAGTGGAATACTTTAGGTGCGCTTCGTCTGGGTGCGCTTCATTTAGGTGCGCAAAGTGGAATACCCCGTGGAAATGAAGTTGAAGTGAAATTGCTGTAAAATTTTTAAGTTAAGAATTGTTGCTTTACGGCATAATTAGTTAGTTACAAAGGTTGATCAATTACAGTAACTATCATACATGAGCTACCTTTAGCTACTTATAAATGCTAGGTCAGTAATAATAGTATAAATAATTTTATTAATTACCTGTATTGATATGGCCCCATTTGTGGCATTTAATACACCTGACATTACGCACCAGTATACCAAAGGGCTGGTCACGTATTTCATTGTCCCCTTTACAATAGCTTTCTCTGGGTGCGTTGTACTTGCGTTGCCATTCAAATTTATATTCCGGTTCATTATCTTCACGTTCCCTTTCTTTCTTAACGCCCGGGGGCGGTTCATACATAAAATTCAAGCTGAGTTTATCCTTACTATCTTTGCTCAGCAAAGCTCTAAAAGAAAATAAGAGTTATGTGATATTTACCTCAAGTTCAGAACTTAAACTACAACATGCAACAGATTTTATTTGTTTCTATAGGACTTTAATGCTTAGCAACTATATCGACCCATAGAATGACATGAAACAGATAAGTGTGTAGCATAGTGTATTTCATGAACTACAGGTCTGATTGGATAAATCTTTTTGTGTTGAATTATAGGCCATTTATTTATCGCGGAAGGCTATAAATATAAAACATCACGATACTATCAATAGGCGCTGAGCAGAGGGGCTGAAACCGCGCGAAAGCAGCTTTTAATACAATAAAACCTAAATTGGTTGGTCGTGTTAATCTAACTTAATACCTTCTTACATTTAAATTTATTCATTCATACCAGACACATTCCAATAAAAAATGCTGTGCATTTTCGTACATTCCACAGTAATCACACAGTCAGTTTGATTACTGTGGAATGTTTGAATCGTTTTCAGGCTACTGCTATCTGATGGCATTTAAATATCCAAGGAACTTGGCAGATACAATGTTAAGGTAGTTCTGTACCATATTCCCCTTTTCCCTTCTATACACAACTTACTTGTTTTCATGTAGTTCTTGTTCCTTTTCGTACTGAATTCTCAACTCCTCTTGTTTTTTTTTGTAGGCCTCAGTTTTCTGCTCTGCCATCCATACCTGTACATAGCGAATAAATAAATAGTTAAACAACTATGTATAACCAAGACCCAGCAACTAAGTTATTAAAAATAAACAATACGAAACGAGTACCTAGCTAATTATTTATTAAAATATGTAATATTTCTTACCCTTTTCAAATTATCTCTTGACGCAGGGTGAAAAAATTTCTTACACATATAATTATTAAAACCTTTACCCATTTTGTTGATTGTATTTTGATATGAAGAACTTAAATTTTACAAAAACCTAACACCATGAGTTATTCGTCAGTTAGTCACAATAGCTTTTCTTAGTTTTTCTCTCTAAAAGACTAATGGACGACTAGACCTATTTTATTGATTATTTCAAACGTAACAATGTTGCCAGTTGTCAGCCAGCTTGTCATGCCCACCAGCGAATGAATAAACAGCATGTTATTTCTTTTTTTCCTAATAAGATTACGAATTGGTTAAAAAGAGACGAAGTGCTATTTATATTTCCGCATCGATTTAATTTAATTTATGAATGTAGCTCTTGAATGTACAGAAAAATGCGCTAAATTAAATATGAAATCAAAACTCTTATACCAGAAAGAAGCCAGAAATACCTATACAGGTGGATATTAATTTCAGTAGAAAAAATCATATGTATACCTAATTGTGATATTTGAATCGAAGGGTTTATGGGTAAAAGGTAGCTATTGACCACCCAAATCCCTGAAAAAAGGTGTCGGTCCATGGGCTAACGCACTATATAAATACAGTGAGGAGTTTGTTAGATAATTTAAACGCGCTAATCTCTGAAACTACTTATGTACTGGTCGAATTGAATAATTATTTCTGTGATGGATGAAACCGCGCGGGAGTGGCTAGTGAATTATACCAGTAAAATGTACCTACCATTCTGTGAGTGGAGATAGCCAGGACCAATACCTTAACAACCCAATACTTATTATGTTCAGCGAAAATATACGGTATAATTAGAAAAATAGCTTCTTTGACACAATTTTTTTAGCATATCTCAGTGAAAAAAAATATTTTTAGCAAGTTTTGTACATCAACTTCTTTGTGGTAAATATACTATGTTCATTGGTAGGTGTTTTTTAGATCAAGAAAAAGAGATATTAGGAAAAAGTAGTTCTTGTGTTTCGTGGAACAATTCTATGTCGCTCAACTTTAACTTACCTAAAGCAGTGAAAAAAAATGTTAGTATATGTTTTGTATAATAAGCGTAAAAACTACCTCGTTTAATGGTGATTTATTTATTTATTTAATATGCTTCATGCATGATGCATGATCTACAGTAAGTTGATTTAATGCCGTCGGCATTTTCTCCCAGTCTGGCCTTTGGGTGATGCAGAGAAGTCTAAATGGTAGGTGCAAGAAGCAAGCAATGATTTTATTGAACAAAAGGAACGACGTCCGGCCGCCGTAAGCCATCAGATCACCACGGTTGAGGCCTGGGGCTCATTTGGGCTGATGCCGATATGGAGTCGCGAAGAACCTGACAAGTTACCGGGGCTTTGGCCAGTGTTAAGGTTTCTCCAGCGGTGCTATACCTATTGACTATCGGTTTTGAAGTGTATGTACTTACTTACAATTAAAAAAAACTACGTCAAGAACTAAAAACGACCTAATGTAAAAACCAAAAGCAAAAAATATAATTATTAGTTAGTCACAAGTACTGGTAAGTAATTAGTAGGTACATTTTGTGTGTAATTTTGATATTTGAGCTTTTCCATAGTTTACCCAAAAAACAAATATACCTACTATACATTTTTAACTGATAAAAACTATTCGATCAACTATTCTTGTAGCGAATCAAAACAAGTTCAGTGGTTATGAGCTCTATGGTTATGAGATAGATTGTTCCGGGGCTTTAACGCATAGTTCCCGCTCCCGTGATCTATTAGTGAAAAACTATCAAAGATCGTTTCCCAGGTTTTTAAGTTTTATTTTAACTATCGTTTTACCAAAGGGCATTGACTAAATTAGTGCCTTTCATTTTTCTATCGGCAATCGATGATTTATGCAAATTATTGTGGCGACGCATGCCACATGTCAAAGGATGACGTCACAAGAATCCTACATCGCACATGCAAAGTTTACAAGCGAATATAAACACGGATAGAAAATCCCAACAAACAACTGTTGGGCAGAAAGCCCGCCAGGCACGATCACCTCGCCTGGTCGGAGGATCCTCCTTTTCCGATCTTAGGGAACTATACTCTCTGTTCTCTAAAGTGGTGACCCCGACGTGATTGGAAGCAACCTTCACTTCACGGAGCAGATCAGCACCGTCATCCTTATCGCCATCCCTCTCATTCATCACTTCTCCGCTAAGCGGTAATCAAGTCGCAGCCAACCAGCATCCTCGGCCTCATCAGGGACCACCATCGCCTGCAACGAAGTCGTGCAGCCTGGTTCTTCCCTACGGCCTCACCAGCGTCTAGGCACAGCACTTCTGCACACGGTTCTGAAGAACATCTCCTCCCGTCAACGCAGACGCCAGCCACTACGCACCTACCCTCGCAGCATCTCTTCCCCGATGCATGTAGTTTTGAAGTTTTGAACCTGGGACATTCATAATTTCATTCGATAGTCTTTTTTTGAATTTCGAATACAGAATTTAAGGAAACAAAAGACAATTTGGAGCCTGTTTGTTGATAGCAAACAATCGAATACTAAGAAAACTTGGTTTTATTGGTTTACTTGGATTTAATTTTTGAAAAAGAGTTTGATATCTTTGGTTTTGCAACAAACATTACTTATTCTTAACATTAAGGTGAGGTTCTATCAATAATCTATGGATACTTCACCTGAAGTCGCCGCCCAAGCTGTGGCACTTATCCAGCCCAGACACAGCCAAGAAACGTAAGCGCTTAACTTAACACGTTCACTGTGTATGACCCACGTGACGGCTGGGGCATATCGAGTCGCTCATTGTACGTGCATGACCCATCGGTGGGGCATGCCTTTACGAGATTATACGGGCATGCTACACGGATGGGGCTTACATTTACGAGATCATACGGGTATGATCCACTGGTAGGTCAATAAATAAAAATATTATTTATACGAAGGGGGTATAGAAAAATTAAAAACATTGCTATTATAATATCAGTTTTATAACTCATGCAGTAATCAACAATTTGCATTTACACTTATGGGAATAGCGTCGCTTATCATAGCTGCACAGTCAACGTGTTAATTTAAGTCGATCTGCGGTCCGAAATGTTTATCGGAGGTACCTAGAGACTGGCGGCTTTGTTCGTCGCCAAGGAAGGCCACGATCTCGGGTCACAACTGAAAGGCAGGATCGATTCATCGTGGCGACCAGCTTGAGAAATCACCTTACCTCCATTGAGATACAAAACCAACTTCGCGACTTCCACGGAGTATCTGTGAGCGCTCGAACTGTTCGGAGAAGGTTAAAAGAACGCGATATGGTACCACACAAGCCAGCTAATGGGCCCAAACTAACGCGAGCCCACCGAACAGCGCGCCTTCATTTCGCACGCAGTCATTTAAGTTGGACACGGCAAGTTTGGAGCCACGTACTCTTTTCTGATGAGTCTAAAAATTGCGTTACATGGCAATGATGGAAGGAAGGTCTACCGACGTAAGGGAGAGCTTTCCGCACAATGCTGCTTTGAAGAGAGGGTTGCTTATGGCGGTAGCTCATGGACTGTCTGAGGCGGTATATTCGCGAACGGCAAAACTCAACTTTGAGGTTGTTACAGGACCACGGCTGCCAACATTAAATGCTGAAAGGTACATTCGTGAGTGCTTAGAATCTCACGTGATACCATACGCGGACTATGTGGGCCCAAATTTCTTTTTTATGCAAGATAATACAAGAGCCCATGCGGCCGGCATCGTCAGGGAATATGTTCGGGATGTGAACATCACAGTTATGGACTGGTCAGCCAGAAGCCCAGACATGAACCCCATTGAGCACATGTGGGACGAGCTAAAAAGATGTGTTAGGGCTCGTCAGCCAGTTGCCCAGACGATGCAGGAGAAGAAAACTGCCATAGAAGAGGAATGGGAGATGATCCCTCAAAATTTCATAGAGCTGTTGATAAACTCTGTGCCTAATCGTATAAAAGCTGTGGTGCCCATGGAGGCAACACGCGTTATTAAATTAAACCATTATTTGATAAAACATGTTTTTTATTTAAAAAACAATTGCCTTCAACAAGGCGCATATCCGATTTGTTAGCCGTAGCTCCATGTCGTATGGTATTCTGAATTCAAATTTAAAAAATCGTATCAGGTTTAAAACTGCATCAACAGTTTTTATTCAATCTAGCAATCATGTTTCGGTAGGGGCCATCGAAACCTAAACTCTAAGGTGGGCCAGTAGATGTGTCCAGAAGTGTACCTAGTTACTAGTCGGAAGGAGTCGACAGAAAAATGTTTTTTACGTGTTTTGACGACTCAATTCGCTACTGGAGCCGTAGTTAGCCGTGTATTTGGGTAGAGTCTTCACGTTATGACCTATGATAGATTTTTATGACCAATTTCCTCTTAGTCGAAAACCCACAATATAAAATGTTCGACTCCAACTCCTTTCAACGGTCATAACTCAGTCCGAGCTGAGATTTTGATATTCGAGCTACTATAAAATTTGGTTTGTAATGTCATTTTAGATAACATTTTTCACAAATCATCGATTGCCGCCAGAAAAAAGAAAGGCACCAATTTTAGTCAATACCCGTTCAGCCCGATCCGTCCAGTAGTTTGGGCCGTGCGTTGATAGATCACTATGTCAGTCAGTGAGTCTTTTTTGAAATATATATATTTGAACATAACATAACATAACATCACGCCTTTTATCCCCGAAGGGGTAGGCAGAGGTGCACATTACGGCACTTAATGCCACTGTACAATGCAACACCCACTTTTCACTATTTATGTTATAAGTCCCATGTAATTGGGGGTGAGCCTATTGCCATATACCGGGCACATTTCCAAACTCCGTGCTACTACTGAGATTTTTAAAAAACCCAGTAATACTTTGCCCGACCCGGGAATCGAACCCGAGACCCCTTGCCCGGCAGTCGCACTTACGACCACTCGGCTAACGAGGCAGTCAGTCAGTGTTATATATATATTTGAAATAAATTGTATATGATTTTCTTGGGCAGCGTATTCCACAGAAGAACATCTTGAATGAAAAAAGAAGAGCGGAGGAAATCAGTGCGGTGAGAGACACATTAAAGGTGTCAATTCTTAGACGACCAGTCTTTACTCTTTTGAGGAGTAAATAGACAGATACCATGGTTTCCCCACCTTCTACCTCACGACATAGCTTGCCTGAAAATGTATGATAAATGTTTTGGAAGGTATTTGTTTCAAATCAGCAGGGAAACGTCCAGGTTTCGTCACTGTGAGAACTACCTGTAGGACGCAGTGTAGTACCTATATGGTGCTGGTATTCCCTATGCCGCTACTGTGGCTAAGCACTAGCGTGTCCTCAGGGAAGTGACCTCGCAACCTGGTTTGGTTCAGGCCATAGTGCGGAGCGAGAGAAAGCAGAGAGTGTCTTCTTTTTGCAAAGGTCGGTCATGCCAGCAAAGAAAGAGTCGAAACACGTGAGAGAACCCAGTAAACCTGCGCAGGACACGGTAGTGCTTGGCTCTAGTAGGCCATCGGCACTGTATGTTCCACCGTGTCCTCCGGGTGGTTCCGAATCTGGATGTAAAGTGTAAGTGTGTGTGAAAATTATATGTTTGGAGTAGGTAATAATCATCATTATAATATCAAATCAAAATAATCATCATTTGGTGGAGGCGATAGGACGTCTCAAACTCTTACTGATTAAAAACCACCCCGTAACAACTCCTACTTTGAGCCGGTGCGCGGCACTTTTTGCCACTTCGTACATTTTTGGTTAGTGGGCTCCATCCATCAGAGATAGCTTGGTAGCCCTATGAGGCGCGTGCGTTTGCGTTCCGCAAATTAAGTTGAAGATTACACAAATAGAAACATGTGGGAGTATGAAAAACAAATGATTTTATTTCACAGAAAATATGAATGCGTTCAAGTAATCTAATAATACTGTGGTGTAGGGTGAGCATACAAAAATGATCTCAACATTTTTTGTTGTTTTGGTTCGTTAGGGCCGAGATCCTTCTCTTTAACAGGTACTTCATGTAGTATTTCGTCTTCTAAATTTAATATTTGTATTGTATGTTGGAATAGCAAATCTTCTTGCTCTTCAAAAGTCAATACTTTCCTTGGTTTTGGTGGCTCCCAATGAAATTTGCATTGATTTTGAATATTATTTTTCAAGCGTTGATTATGTGTAGATAAAATAGTTTCAATACCACAATCGACGTCATATTTGTTCGGTGCAGGAGAACGCTGAGCTAGTTTTGGAAAACGTTCAGCTCGATACAAGGGTCCACGATTAAAAGCTGGAAGACACTTTGGCTTTGCCAAGGAATATGTTGCAGGTCCAGGTGTTTGCATTTTACCATGTACAGGTAACCAACAATGCCACGGTAAAAAACGCCCTTCAGATGAATAGAATGGGGCTACATATTGCGATACAGGAGATCTATTTGTTTTAATTGAATTTTGGGGCAGATCGGCTGGGCTAGGTTCATCGTATTTTTTTAGCAACGGTTTCATTCGAATAGTTTTAGATTTAAATACCCAGGTACGTTGAATGCATGGCTTTACGGTTTGTTCCTCTTCCTTTGGTTTATCTCGTATGTCTTCTACTGATTCTAGTTTATCAGCATAGCTTTCTTCTTTTACTTCATCTTTAAATCTCGTTGCTGTAGTTCCAAAAGGGGCGTTACTGCAATGAACATAATTGCAAAGTTTGTTTCTTGTATTGTAAGAAGCCGGACTGGGCCCATCAGAACTTTTATTACTAAACCGGGCTGTCTTGGTTCCGAAACAAGGTGGGTTCGGTAATTTAGCATGACATGTTATTCCACTATATTCAATTGGATCAAAATCTCTTCGAAGCCAATGATCTGCCGGACCTGGAGATACTTCATATTTTGATGATGGGAACCTTTTCGCTTTTGAGCCTATGACACTAAGATCAGTGCCTTTTGGTACTTTTGGATCATATGTTGCAGGACCAGGTCTATTTTCAGACAAATTTTTTTCATAAACTTGGTCCATAAAACGTAATTGTTTTGCTATTCTTTTTTTATATGCACGTATCTTTTCTATACAAATCTCATTTTCTGTAGGCTCCCTTTCAAAAGAATAATCTCCAGGACCAGGTTTAATTCCAAACAGTTTGTGAGCTTTTGACGACGTTCTTTTACTCCATTTACAGCCCTGATAAAAGGCTGTAGATTCGTTTACTCTAGCATCATAAAATGGCGGGCATTCTTCTTTAATTTCTTTCATTAATCTATGTTGAACACCATCTGCTACCTCAAAACCATAGTCTTTCCTTGATGGTGCCGATAAACCTTCATCGCCCAAAACAGATCGAGGAGTAGGACCTTTAAAAAAGCGTCTTTTCACTTTACCTTGGCATATTACAATATTTTCTTCCTTTTCTTGGTCAGTGGGACATTCACATGGACTGGAAATACCACACTTACATAAAATTTCTTCTAAGTCTTCATTACTAAAGGCTTTGTATGGAAATCTCGGATTTTTTGAAAGCATTGCTGAGCAATTTGGAATATTTCGTGGCAAATCATAATTATAAATTGCATGAGTCCACAATTTAACACCACTTTGTGTGTTACGTGGTGTATTTGAAAGAAAAGGAACCACATTGTGTTTTCTTCTGCTAACATCACCTTGATATGCTCCAGGATCAAGAATTGTATAATATTTTGGGGGAGGTGGAAACCTTGATCCTAAACTGTAAGCCATTAGGTATTTATGACTGTGTATCTTATTTACGTGTTAAGATATCCATACAGTACCTAAATAACAATTCTATAAACAATTTAGGTGAACACAGCAAAATTAAATGACCATTATTTTCGTTAAGATACCAACATTTTATAATTATATAATGTTATTATGTAATAGATTATATTGAATACTTCCCTTGCGTATTCCTATTTTTATGTCTGCTCCTGTTGTGTGATAAACACATTGATCTTTAACGTTGTTAGACACTCAAAAATGACAATTATTTGTAGTGTTGAAGTAAAAAAACCATTCAAAGTAGGTATGGTACAAAGAGTATAAATAATAAGTATAGGATAGGTATATTATGACGTGAATATTATTATGTAGTCTTATATTAGTTAATCAATCTTATTGTAAGTCATTTAATTGTAATTTTTTTAAGTTACAATTATTTATTTTAAATTTAATTATATAACTACATAAATATTTACAGCTTAAAATTAAGTACAACTAAACTATTAAATAAAACGAAAGTAAAAAAAGAATACAACAAAAATATAATCGTCAAAGTATTCGTCCGCATCAATATCACAGGGGAACGTTCCCAGAAGACTGGCAGCATTGCCACGTTGAATGGCAATGCTTATTTTCTGTCCGAAGAAATAGCCAGCCCTCTGGGTGTAGAGTCGATTAGCCTACGGGCAATATAATTAAAAACATAATGTGCACTGGGACCCCACGTCCTAAGAGTTTCGACCCCAAACGGCTCAAAACAGTAGTTACCCACTAGATTTGAATATTTACGCCGTTTGAGGGCCTCTGTCGAGTAAGCAGCTGCACCAACGCATGCAGCGGTACTTAGAAGATGTGATGGTGCAAGGGTGTCTACACACGTCGCGTCCCACACCAAAGGCCTATCCATCTTTCAAGGCAGCAACGACATACCATCTGGTCTTTTGCCGTCATCATGTACCAAACCATTAGGTTCTAATACGGCTGGTAAACCGGCTGAGGCAAGAGCACGACGAATGATGTCGTTGATGCTGGCGGCCTGCACTTCTGCCATCGACTCTTTCTCCACCGTGACAATAATGTGGAGAAACACAAGGAGCACCTAAACGTAAGCATACAGCTAGGCGGAACGTTATGTTATCCAACATAGTACCTATGAGGCTATGAAGGGTGACGGGAGTGCCTGAAGGCCTGAAGCCACAATCCTGATTCCCATTCTTCCACAGCCAATAAGCGAGCTCGCTCTGCAGTATTAGAAAACGAGTTGATTAAAGACTCACGAATAACCCTGCACAGCGGCACGTCCCACTGTCTCTGAGAAGATGGGTGAACAGGTAAATCCGTAAGTGGGCAAGCCATTTTCCACGCTTTCACTGCATCAGTCAAAAACGGTACCTCAAAACTAGTCAGTGACGAAAAAAGAATATTCCTGACTAATATTCAGAGATGTGGACCGATGACAGAAAAGCTGGTAAACTAATACTTGAAGTTTTGCGGACGCCGAGCCCTCCCATATCAATGGGAAGAGTAGCTTGTTGCCAAGCTCGGTCATCCAAAGCCACATTAGGTAAGTATGGATGACAATGTGTGTCTGATAATTTTGTCTACTTTTTTATTGTAAGTAGGTAATAAATAGACGTCGGTGAATATGGCCGTATAGTTGATGTAATCGCTTAAGAGAAACCAAGCATCTCTTAGGGAAACCAAGGAGAAACCCTATATCCCTTTTTTTCTTTATCCTTAAATAGAAAAAAAAAGTATTTTGACATTGACAGCAAACAAATTGTCAGTAAGTTGACAGTTGACATTCTGATATTTATTTTTTCATTTTCATGTACCTTTATTTATCGTCTGTCGTCTGTATCTACTCATTTTTGCTTTCAACTTTCAGTTCGAGTTCAACGTAGTGCAATGCAAACGAAGTGCTGTGGTGATCGTTCCTTCCTTTAATCATTGATCATTGTAATAGTCGTGAACTCGTCAAACGAATGTTAATAATAATAACTTGTTTGAGATGCTTGAATATGTTCAAAACGTGGATGTGATTTATTCAAGTAAATAATGCAGTTCAATGATAGCTGTAATATGCGTCAGACATGGGGTTGACCCGCAAGAAGCTGTTTGTATTTTTAACAAGTCTCCATTTATATCCTTTAACATTTGGGGATGGCATAGGTGTAAACGTTGATGCTGTGTGTAACTCGACAATATCACAGCGAGTTAATTACGAGTTTAATTCAGATGTTGTGAATAGCGAGCATATAATAACATACAAGGGTTATTTTCCAAGATCAACAAGAGAGAATTATGTCACTGCAGCGTTGAGGAATGCGGGGGTAAGTTGACATTATCCAATATCTGCATAATAAAGCTGGAAAAAATTTTGTCTTCCTTTATCTGTTTCTCTTTACTATAAAATTTCAAGGCACTTAAAGCGATTTGTTATCTATACTTTCTAGATTTTTCAATCGGGTCTCTGGTTTAATTCAATATTTGTTTTTAATTTAGACTAATTTAATTGATTATGAAAGCTTTGCGCCCTATCTCTGGTTTATTGGTAAGGTTAAACATTTGTAATGAGTATAAAAACCAAAAAAAAATTTATTTAAATATTTGGATTCATATTAGGTAGGCAAAAGTGCCCATATACAATGTTACACTCACTTTGCGCAAATTATGTGTAGTAATTGAAGGTAAGGCTTGGGAACAGATTTGGACTTTATGGTATTACAAAGGAATTCCTGAAAAACTAAAAAAATAAATTAATCAAGCCAATATGTTGAGTTTGAGTTCAAGTATTTCTTGTAACACTTAAAGTTGTTCTTGCCAAAACATATATTTAGGGTGGTGATTAATCATCATCAGAAGCTTTACGTTAAGCATTCTTAACCTAAACCTTATGTATGGTCGAACTAGCAGCTTTTGCTCAGCAGTGGGCACATATAGGCTGTAATGTGTGATTGCATGATTCGTATAATAATACAGTTTTTTTTATAAACATCAGAGCCAGATATGTTATAATAATTTGTGAATAGTCTTTCTTTGCCATTGCGAATTTTAAATATTGAATCTTTATCAATATTGCATATTGATCAATTGTAAATTAACAAGCTATGCTTTGCTCTATAGATTGACATAATGTATTTATGTTAATCTCTTCTCATTATTCTTCACACATGCTGGTTTTTGTTAATATGGCCGGACCGATTTAGACGGGACTTTTATTGGTAGGTAGCTGATGTACTAAGGAGTAATTGGCTACTTTTATTTTAGAAAAATGCAGAAGAAGTTGCGAGTACTGCTAGTTGTAATTAAAAGAAAACATTTTGTGTATATTTACACAAAATGTTTTCTTGAATTTACAATAACTATTTTGTTTGTGGGTTTAGTGGCCCCAATATAAAGGATCTTGGGCACTTTAGTATGAAAGTTGGACATTCAACCAACAGATGTATTCGATGTCTAGATTCTGTGGAGATAAATTTAATTTTTATAAAATATGGGTTTGTTGAGAAAATCACATTACAAATTGTTATGTCAGTAATTAACTCGTCGAGTACCGGTTTTATAGACACAATTAAAGAACAATAGGTCGCGGTCACCGGTGACCGCTCGGTGTTTGAAAGATTAACATCATAAAACTCTTAATTTTGTTTATTTCTTCTTCAAAAACAAGTACCCTCGTAGTATTTTAATGCTTTTATCATTGTTATACTTGAATTAACATATTAAACATGACATCAGGCCTTTTATTCCCTGATGAGGTACACAGAGGTGTATGTAAGAAACACTGACATTTTGCTAGTTATGTTGATATTTATATATAATTAGGATGAATCTATTACTATACACCGCACACATACTTACTATTACATACTTTGTTAATGCTGGATAAAAATCTTTTTAATGCCTCCTTCCACCCTAAAATCGAAACTAAGACCATCGAAACACTCACAATTCAAAATTCTTTAGTTAGGTACTGAAATATGAAACAAAATTAGACTTCCTTTGTTGGTGGAATAGTTGTAAGAGCCATTGCAGAGCCGAGAGAAAAAAATTGAGATATAAAGTAGGTATACATCAGTCTCTTACAAATGACATAATATAATATATTAAACTGTCAAACACTGCGAGGACACCGGTGACTGCAACCTATTGTTCTTTAATTGTGTCTATAATGACGGTATTCAAAGAGTTAATATATCAACACTGTTCATTAAACGCCAATTCTGCCCATGATCCTTTTGTCTACAACAAACTCTTTTAAATCTAAATACATCTTTATTTAATACAACTGGTTTCACGAAAGTTCCTTCAGCTACAATTTTATGTAATCTGTGCAATTTTTTAATTTCTTAGAGCTGATTTTTCAATGCTCAGATACATTTCAACTGAGGAATAACTTTGAATATTTGACAAATCTTCCATACTAAAAACTTTCTAATATCAATTTTATTCCAAAGTTAAGAATTAACTGACAATTGTAAAATCGGCCCAAAAATAACTAAATTGGCATTATTTTAAAAAGGTTTAATTTCTTAAATAACTAAATTAGCTTTAGTTAAATAAAGGTTTTAAATAAATAATAAAAGTAATAGATAATTATAAAGTTGAAGAGTTTGTTGACTGCCTCGTTGGCGAAATGGTCGCAAGTGCGACTGCAAGGGGCAAGGGGTCTCGAGTTCGATGTCCAGGTCGGGCATTATCTGGAATTATGCCCGATATATGGCAATAGATTCAACCCCGATTATATGGGACTCCTAACATAAATAATGCAAAATGGATGTTACATTGTACAGTAGCATTAAGTGCTGTAATATGCAGTACTGCCCACCCCGTCGGATTTCATCAATCAATTTATTTTTGTGTCGGATAGTCCATTTATCGAGGAAGGCTATAGGCTATAAAACATCACTCTACGACCAAGAGGAGCAGAGCGGGTGAAACCGTGCGGGTGTATCCAGTTCATTATAAGAGCGAGAATACATGTTAAGAGGAATTATTGACTACTGACTTAAATAATTGGCATATCGCGAGTTATATCGAGAAATTAATTAACTATAAAGGGCTGCATACCTACTAATATTAGTCCTTGAAAACCCATTGTTTCATTTCTGATCATTGAGGTAGAGGATTTACTGATTTCCTTTCTGTAATTTTGCGATTATTTAATGATAAGGTTTTAGAGACACAGAAACATTTAAATATTGTTTCAGATATCAAATTGGACATTACTGCAACGTAATAACCCAGCTAAAGAATATCCAAGTGACTTCGATGTAATAGTTCTTGAAGATGAAGGAAGACGTGCACTTGATGCCTTGAAAGACCATCCAGCTATCCGTCGAGTTACAGCGCAGCGGCAAGTTACCCGTACTATCAAATACATTCGCGAGGTAAATATATCTTATCACTACGTGTTCAAGTAGTCATTTTTGTAAAGCGATGAGATGGGATGAGGCACTAATGTTTTCAAATAGCTATTGATATTATATCTGCTGCATGTGACGATTGAATTAATTCTTTTGTACTATTGTGATTTGTATGTGTGTGTGTGTGTGTGTGCGAGTGTGTATATCATTAATGCTTGTTTAAACTATCATTGTAATTTAGGATGATTGTGGACCAGCTGGATGTTTATATGCGGGCTGGCGTAATCATCGAGTACGAGGACCGAAATCCTTAAGACAGCCGCGTGAGGTAATCATAAATATTTTACTACTTACCATTGGTTAAATGAATTATGTCAACTTAAATGTACTTAGAAAAAAAAAACCATATTTACATTTAATTGATTCCGTATGATTTTTACAGAATGGTGGTTACACGTCCAGGAAGTTGTTACGAACTGTCCCTCGGCAAATAACATCGGTCTTGAAAGCTGATCTGCTCTGGTCTCTTGGTGTAACTGGTGAGTCTGTAGTCATGCTTATCTACTGTAGGCTCTGGACTCAAAACTTAAATTGAAGGAAATAAAGTCCTATTCGACAATTTATGCTCTCGAGACGCTTTACATTCCATTCTCGTTTTAAATTACCGTCAACATTTCGTCATCTATACCTAGCTCTTATAATATAATACTATCTAAGCTAAAGAGTTTGTTTGTTTGAACGCACTAATCTCCGGAACTATGTACTGGTTTGAATTAAATATTTTTTTTTGTATTATGCATATACAGTAAACCATTTATCGAGGAAGGAGCCGGGAAGGGGGTAAAGTGCGCTAATGCGCACTACCTAATGGTAGTGTCTTATAAAATTAACATGGTCGATCATTCTGGCAGGTGAAGGAATAAAAGTAGCAGTGTTTGACACGGGGTTAGCTCGAAATCACCCACATTTCGGGCGCGTCCGTGAACGAACCGATTGGACCGGCGAAAACACATTAGACGACGCTCTAGGTCATGGGACTTTCGTCGCTGGTGTGATCGCCTCTCGAGCTGAATGCCTTGGCTTTGCACCTGATGCAGATTTACATATTTTCCGCGTGTTTACCGACAATCAGGTATGTAGTAAAATACTATACTTATCTACATCTATACACTTCTACACTTCGACATCTACCCTAATAGTATAAAGAGCAAAGATTTGATTTTTTGTTTGTTTGAATGGAATCTCCTCCAAAACCACCGGACCGAATTGAAATTTTTTTTACCGTTGGAATCCTACATTACCCATGATGATCATAGGCTATATTTAATAAGAGAAAAAAAACGGAACCGTTTGAAAATTTCGATAAATGTAACCCGATGTGTGAAAATACTACAAAAAAGCTCCTTATATTACTTAAGCCTTTGACTGCCAATAGGAAACTGTTTTCAAGGACTAATAATAGTATTTAGCTGCATCAGAATCCGAGATTTTAAGGAACAAATATTCATATTCATATTCATATTCATTTAATCATTTGCAAACATGGGTACATAATATATGAATTCAAATAACTGAATACATTTTATTCATGAACTAGCTTCTGCCCACTGTTTCGCTCGCGCTCTTTTAAAGTATTGAGGGCAGGTTTACAAAAGATAAAAAAGAATTGGTGCATGATGTTTTGCTGGTCACAAATATAATATGAATTTTAGTTTTCTTGAAAGTTACGAAGTGCTCCATACAAACTTCCACCCCCTGCTTTAAGGAAGTGGTTAGAAAGAAACAAAATGTAGCCTATGCTATTTTCAATCCTTTCAACTATCTCCACTCAACAAAAAAATCACGTCTATTTCTAACAAATCAAACGGACACACACAAATTTATAATATTATCTATACATTTCTATGTTATCTGGCATTTTTTTGACTAATATTATTAACCATTGACCTATTTGATTGAAATTCGGTTTATTGAGATTTTGAGACACTGGCGCTAGAAAAGCCGAATGATTGACTCTATCTTTTAAACTATTGAAGTTATTTGAGTGGAATTTGGTACGAGCGACGATAGTTTGAGACTCAGAAAATGACGCCTGAGAATTTTCAACCGCTGTACCTATTTATTTACAATTCAAATAGAGTTTTAACTCGTCGAGTACCGGTTTTATAGACACAATTAAAGAACAATAGGTCGCGGTCACCGGTGACCGCTTGGTGTTTGACAGTTTAATCACTGGAACCTTACGGGAATGGATACCTTATAAGTAGGTAAAAACCCCGTGGGATTGTAAATTTTTTGGAATCACGAAAATGAACGACATTTTACAATAAATATAACTAACTCAATCTATACTGATGATCTCATCATCATTACAAACAAACTTTTGTTCTGCTTCATCGACATTTGTTGTTGTGTATCATCGTGATGATGAACAATCTTTGTTACACAGCATTGGAATTAACCTCGGAAAAGACTAATTAAACAATCCAAAATTCACCAGAAGTCATTGTTATACGCGGACGAAGTCGCGAGGAACAGCTAGTGTACATTTATATTGATTCAAATAATTATTTATGTCGGTTATCTCTAGGAATGCATTATGATTTTTATTGCTTCAGGTATCTATGTATATTCTTATACAGTGATTTTGTAGCTAAAGAGTGTATTGTTATCTATTCATTAAATGGCAAAGATTTTATTATATTTTTACCGGAACAGATAATTGTGGTATGATTACATTTTAATTAAAGTCTACAGATAAGATAATGAAGACATTATATGAATTATCTGCGTGTTATAAAGTCAAGTGGTTCGACATTTGTAAAGATATTTACTACAAGAAGTCACTTGCGTTAGATATCTACACGCTTCTTCCAGCGTGTTTGACCAAAATTATGGAACGTAGGTATCGTAGATACCGATCGGGGAGAAAACTAGAGTATGTGTAATTCAGGCTCAGTTGATTCTTGATTGAGAAATAAACATTCGTCCACATCCTCATGATGAACTGCCTCATTTGTAGATAATGCCAGTAGGTTAACGACCTAATTACATTATATATGTAGATACCTACCTAGGTTACTCTACTATTACTACTAGAACCAAACATAATAAACCTTAATTATGGCTTGCTTAGTTAGGCTAGGGGACTTACATATCTACTATATAAAAATAAGTCGGGTTTTCCTTCCTGACGCTATAACTCCAGAACGCACGAACCGATTTCCACGGTTTTGCATTCTTTGGAAAGGTCTCGGGCTCCGTGAGGTTTATAGCAAAGAAAATTCACTAATCACCAAACGAAATGTTACATAAAACAAAGCCATCCGGTGGCGAAACGGAGTTCGCCGGGTTTGCTAGTATTTTATAATATATAACTTGGTCCTAAAATAGTAACGTAATATGGGTATATAACTTTTCAGATCTGCATGTAACAATTGTTGAGCAATTTAACTTATTGCAGCTGTATTAATCAGTAGTCATGTATTTCACACAGGTTTCATACACATCGTGGTTTCTGGACGCGTTTAACTACGCTATCATGCGTAAAATTGATGTGCTTAACCTGAGCATTGGTGGACCGGATTTCATGGATCACCCATTTGTTGATAAAGTATGGGAGCTTAGTGCAAATAAGGTAAGCGTATCTACCTAAATCAATAATTTTTTATATAATAATATGTAACTAATAGTAGTTACTTACTTAAAAACAAATAAAAATGCAATAAAAAGAAACGAAGAAAGGGGTGAATTTTTTTCTGTTTTCCTTATGAACCAATCAAACAATTTCAGTGTTTAATTAAAAACTCATGTTTCTTTTCTACTCGGTTATCTACGCTTTGAGCCATTATACACTGAAAGTAATTATGTATTGTGATTATTTAGGCATGTCACATTAAACACACAAAGTAATTTTATCTGGTGTTGCTTGATTTTGAATATTTTTATTGTCGATCAAGATTGACTGCAACCACATTAATAAATGTGTATTGATTGATGAAGAAATCTTTTTAGGTAATCATGGTGTCTGCAATAGGAAACGACGGTCCTTTGTACGGTACTCTCAACAACCCTGCAGACCAGATGGATGTCATTGGTGTTGGAGGCATCGGGTTCGATGACAGGATTGCAAAGTTTTCGTCCAGAGGCATGACCACGTGGGAACTACCACACGTAAGATTAATAATACCTACTAATAATACCTATATCTGAACTTATAAATGAACTGCCAAACCTTTGCCCGAATTTCAATTTGAATTTCATAAAGAACGAGAGGTGCATATTAGCGGCATCTGGTGTAAAAAAATACGGTCGACCCTATTGAAAGCGTTTCTGACTGTTGTGAGTTTAGGCTAGTGATGTTTTAAATTTATTTGAAAGAAGTTAAACTAGGGATTCTGAAGAAGAAAAATAATGGTGGTGCTTTTTAAAGAGTATCGCCAATGTTTTCATTGTCATATACTCAATTTTGGTGATTTCCACTATCTTTACCTGAGGAAATTAGCTGTTACGTATGGTCATTGCACTATTTAATAGTGAAATAAACATGAGGAGCATACGACGTTCCGTCCTGTCGTCGTTCGTTTGCGGTATCGAAACCGCGCCGTTGTCGCACCGCGTTTTTGTATGAAAACAAATGTTCGTCAATGAAACTTCTTAAATTGAAGAGCCCTGAGTGTAAGGAAAATGAATTCGAAGAAATTAATTTTGAAAGAATAAAACTAAGTATAAAACAACACGTTTCAAATTAATTTCTGTTTAAGTGATAAAGAAAGTACTTAAACAAATTTAATAATTTAAAATTAAAATACCGTATCGTAACGCCTATGCTGGTAATTTAATTGATTTGACTAGAAAAATATCATACTATCTGAACTTTAAAATAGAGGTGCAATATGTCTTCTTCGACATTCCATATTAGCAATAAAATAATATTGAGACGACAGACTAAACAGTATTTCAATTCTTTATTATATTGCGTCAAAATTTCAAGGTTTCATTGTTCAGTCGCATTTCTGTGTAGATCTTTGATCAATGAGTTTAATACTGATTTCATCGCTGAATACAGCTATACTTATCGAAGGAATGACAAGATAGTACCCACAATGGGGATGATGACAGGGTATGAAAATTAAAAATATAATTAGTCCGTAAGTTAGGTAATGAAAAAATATTAGACACGTATTTTTTTACTTTGTCGTATAATAAAACAATACTTAGATAAAACGAATCAAAGTTTAGGAGTGGGGGCTAAAACGTCATTTCTTAGTATAAAATGTACTGAGAAGTGACGTCACGCGACATTTCAAATCAATATATTTTCGAAACTATTCGTTTCTGTGAGAAAATAAAAAATACGTGTCTAATGTTTTTAAATAATCTATCAGACGGACATTAAAATAAAAATTAGTCGTCTACCCTATTCACATATAGGTCCCTCATTCGTGCGCAGACACAGTGTTCGCGCAACATTTCGTATCTAGAGATTGTGTACTGTTTAAAAGACTCGAGAAAGAAAGAGTCTTGTGATTATTCAACACATATGTAATATATACTTTATCTTCATTGTTGCTATTATAACATCTGTATATTTTTAGGGTTATGGTCGTATGAAGCCGGACATCGTAACATATGGTAGCGGCGTAAGAGGCTCAAGTGTCAATGGAGGTTGCCGGTCACTTAGTGGTTCGTATATATACCTTTGTAAATAAGTAACTTTAATAATACTTGACTGCCTCTTTGGCCGAGTTGTCGCTAGTGCGACAGCCGGGCAAGGGGTCTGGGATTCGATTCCCGAGTCGTGCGACTACTGGGGTTTTTAAAATATTCTCAGTAATAGCACGTAGTCTGGAAATGTGCCCAGCATATGGCAATAGGTTCACCCCCTATTACATGGGACTCTTAACATAAATAATGAAAGTGGGTGTTACATGGTACATTCACGTAAGTGGCATTAAGTGCCGTAATGTGCTCGTCTTCGGGAATAAAATGCGTGATGTTATTTTAACTTAACTTTAATACAGTTTTATCCACTTGAGTGGAATGGAAACTATCTTAATTCTACTGATCTAGAATTGTAAACTATTGTTTATCTTAACAATAACAATAGCTTCTTACATAAAGGTATGTTGTTACACAATAATCCACACAGGTCTTTACTTGCTCGGTCATGCCACACGTCTTGTACTTCGTTGTTACCTAAGTGTCGCATAACCAAAATGCCTAATGCAACTGATAGGTCTAGGATTAAAATATTTCACATATGAATGTAACTCTTTAATTGACATGAAGACGTTTAACTATTACTATTCTTTTAACTTTAGCCTATTTGTGATCCTATGTTATTTTTTGTATAGTCTAATAGTGTATTTGATTTTCAAATGCACAGATAATTGAATGATTACATACGAAACCGTATATACAACAGAGTCATGAATAGATCGTCTTATAATTTCTTTCAATTGCTAGTTAATTTTCAAGGCGTCTCCAATCTTTGTGACAGTTCATTCACCCGGTAGTATACTACCTTTTATCTTGACATGGCGGGACACGTAATCATTATTTTGTTGTCTCGTTTACACATTTAATAATAATAGTAATGTAACTTGGGTTTGATTTCATCTTGTTGGCTGATACGTAATTCTTACTCATTATAACATAATAAGTAACATAAGGTAAAAACCCCCTCAAAAAGCCATTTCCATACCTATGCAAATCATTCAATGGTTGCTCCCGCCTTGGGTGAGGCGAAAGAGAGTGTCAAACTCTTACTGACTAAAACAATGTGGAAATGACTACACACCTTACTTTCTTAGCGAATAAGTAGTAAGAGTAATGTTATGTTTTGTTAATACAAGGTACGTCAGTGGCGTCGCCTGTGGTTGCCGGTGCCATAGCGTTGCTGGCAAGTGGCGTGCCGCGTCACAATCTCACGCCCGCTGCAGTGAAGCAAGCTCTGTGTATGACTGCGCTACGGCTGCCAGGACCCAACATGTTCGAACAGGGACACGGCAAACTGGACCTTATAAGCGCTTATCAGGTACAAACATAAATCGCAGAACTTTAGTAGCACTCATTTAATTTACATTATATCTTTGTTGGTAAGTGATTCATGTCTAGACTAGTGTACAACAAGTCAACCTAGTCAACCTTCAAACCTGTTTATTTTTTTAAATGAATTTTCAACTTTAAGTCAAATCAATAAAGGAATGAAATAGTTTTAGCTGCAACCCAACAAACTTCGCCAAGTACGTATTTTTGGTATAACAAATAACGAAGTTTGTTTATTACAGTTTCTCCGCAAATATGAGCCTCAAGCGTCGTTGAGTCCGAGCTACATCGACCTCACGGAGTGTCAGTACATGTGGCCGTATTGCACGCAGCCGTTGTACTACAGCGCGCAGCCTACTATCGCCAATGTCACCGTCATCAATGGACTGGGCGTTTCGGGGAGAGTCGTACGTATCATTTTACCAATCAGTTCTAGGTACTCTAAAAAACTGTGGAAGAAAAGTCCATTACCATTCTCTAAACACTATTCGTTACACTGTCTTGTCATTGGTAATTTCACAACTTAATGTTAAGTCACGAATCCACAACTTTTCACTTTGATATCGCTCGGTCTACTATCGCATGAAAAGTAATTACATTAGAACAGGTAAATAACTTCACAAAGTAAGATATGTATACGAGATAATAAAATAAACCTTATTATTACGTGCTGTGTTACCTAGAATAGTTCATCTTGATAAGTTGGTGTTGGTTGGCTGGTTATTCACAGAAAGACGTGTCGTGGCACCCACACCTACCAAACGGCGTGCTCCTGTCGGTGTCGGCTGATTACAGTCCAATCCTCTGGCCTTGGTCTGGTTGGCTAGCACTGAGCTTCAGCGTCATTGAAGAGGGCGCCGATTTCGATGGCATTATTGAGGTTAGTCAATATATTTATTTTACTGCAATGTTCTCAAAAGTCAGCAGAACTATTTTGTAGTCCATAAATTGTAAAGCAGCATTGTAAACTCCATGAGAGACTGTTGTCAATTTATATCCATAGAATAAACCCGAATGCGAATTTCTGACATATTGCTAGCTGTTTGAATACTGTTATTATTACATAAATTTATAAAAATAAAACTAAAAAATAGCTCTTTTTAGCATTAGCTAAAAACGGAATTTATTTACAATTTAATTAGTTTTAGTTAACCACAATACATGTCGATACAATTTATTGAATCTGTACCAATCGTTTCATGGTCTTAGGTACTTCCTATTTGCATAATAATGTATATGAATACAGGTGGAAAACTGAATTTGAACAGAGGCAGTAATTTCAAAAAAAAAATGTTTGAATAAATGTTAATACAGCTGTTTAAACGAATCGTGTGCCATGTAAATAGTTAAACGGACCGTGACGCGTCCTGACGTGGCGTAATTGAGAATATTATTATTTTACAATTCGACAGGGTCACATGAACGTCACGGTTGAAAGCGACGATGACTCCGGAGAGAAAATTATGAGGAATGCGACGCTCACACTTCCTATACGGTAAATACACATTGACTGTAACACTAGAGGGCCTGTGTCATAATGTTAGATTACATAGTAGCTGTTTGACATATTTTTCATATAACCGTGTCAAAAATATGCACCCGTTAAGCAATCAACAACGAGTCGATCGTAATCCATAATCTCTGGATGAATTTGTTTTATACAACTGACATCAACAATTGATTGCAATCCGAAGATTTGGATTGAGATCAATCGATCTCAATCCAAATTAATAATAATTAATTTTGACCATTAATTAAACATTGTGAGCAGGCCTATTACATCTGATGATTTGTTGTGACAAAAATTGGTTGCCTGTAAAGTCGGTATACGGGCGAAAGTTTTACATGACAACGACTTTGAGTGGTAAAATAATTTTAATGTGAATATTCATTCGTATAGTAGGAAGAAGGATGTATCTCTCTCACTCTCTCTCTCTCGCTCTGTCTCTCTCGCTCTTAGGCGGGCTAACTGTGCTCGAGTGGAAGGGACGCGTGCCTTTCACTTTTTATGTCTGTCTCTCTCGCTCTTAGGCGGGCTAACCATGCCCGCGTGGAAGGGACGCGTGCCTCTCACTCGCTCTCATTGTGAGCGCATAACGTGAGCGGAGCGTAACGCAGTTTCTTGAAGTGTCACCCAGCAAACCAATTTATAAGACGTTGTCACGTCAAAAATATTTGTATTTCTAAGAATTTGAGCAGTTAAGAAGTGGAATCGAAGAAAATCAATTATTGATAATATGACATGCTTTTTATATTCGGAAGGAAGACGCAGCGGTCCTCATATGGTGTAATAATTATCCATTCTGCGACAGTTATAAGTTCCTTGGTATGTACTAAGTACATGGTGTACATGTACATACTAATATGGTGGGACTTGTTATTATCATTGAGAATCTACAAAATCTGGAAAATATGTACTTTGAATGATCCGTGAACCCGAGGGGTGTTGCGCATGCTACCACTTGAACAAGTGAAGCTGTCATATTTTTTTCTGTCTATGTATTTATTGTGACCACAATGATGGCGTATGATGACGGCAGAGTAGAGAAAACATTTGTTAACACCTATATTCTTCTTGCGAATACCGTAAAAGCTCACTAATTTAAGGGATGACATAAATATTATTTAACAGAGACTGTGCAGCAGTGCTCCTGAACAACCTGATCCTTTGAAATTGCGATCTGTAAGTTACAACCCGCTTGCCAAGTGTAGAGATTATGGCAAACCCTGTGAGGGCTGTTGATGACGATGCCTTGTTTTAATTATTGAATGCATTGCCAGGGCTCGCGTTATCCCAGTGCCGGTGCGTTCTCGCCGCCTCCTGTGGGACCAGTTCCACAGCCTGCGCTACCCGGGCGGGTACTTCCCGCGCGACGACCTGCGCGCCAAGCACGACCCGCTCGACTGGCACGCCGACCACGTTCACACCAACTTCCGCGACATGTACCGCCGCCTTCGAGAACACGGCTTCTATTTGGAAGTTATGGGTACATTTCCTTTTTAAAATACTAAAATCAGCTATGTTAGGTATACTACGTTATTTTATGGTTCTCTTAGTCCGTTATCATACTGTTCTCCAATTGAAAATGAAATGGGGATATAAAAAATTAATACTTTAGTATTAAAAACTAAAAAATTACTTTTTTAATAATTTGATTAGAATTGCTAGTAAAACTAAAACATCATATTTTTTTAAATGAATTAATATCTTTTAAAATTAAGTCTAATGATTTAAAAATAATTTGGGATGTCAGATTTTGCATATTCAACGTTGTACCTTGTATGTCTTCGTCATCAAGAGAAATAAACTTGTTCAATGATCCCAAACTAGATATATGTTTACTAGTAGGTAGCCCAAAGGTCTGTCAGTTCTTTCCAATCTCATCATCAAATTAGGTCAATGGTACCCTAATATGGTTCAGTTGTTTAGTTTTCGTATATTTTCAAAGTTTCATGATGATACAAATACAACACAAGTATGTGTTATTCAAATACTTCGAGTTCGTAACAAAGCAACGTAATAAAAGCGTGTTAAAACCAAATTGTTAATGCTCAGGTTGTCCTTTAACATGCATCGACACGTCGTTGTATGGAGCGTTGCTGCTAGTGGATCCGGAAGATGAGTACTTCCCTGAAGAAATGGCTGCACTGAAGAAAGCCGTCGACTCTGGCATGTCTCTCGTAGTTTTCGCTGACTGGTACAACGCTTCATTACTGCGCCACGTTAAGTTTTACGACGAAAATACCCGACAATGGTAAGTGAAACTACTTATCTAATCTAAGTAATAAACAATATTCGCAATCTTAGTTCTTGGCTAGATTAAACAATTACTGTGTAATTCAAGTGTAATGTACTGTTATAAACTAACCAAACATAATTTTAATCTATTTCACATTAGTAATACATGTTTTACCGTTAAAAAACGTTATCTACCTAGAACTCGTTTCTTTCTAAATGCCTTTATTAAAACTAATGTCTTTATTAAACAAATAACTAGTAAAAACTAGAATTCTCCTCCGATTATTCACTTTTAGATAAAACTAGCTCTCGGTTATCACGCCGAGATTTAGTTTAAACAAGCAACAACCCGACATGATAGGCGGATAGGTAGAATGGCATGACGGAACTATAGTTACTATGATGCCATTCATTAAGTCAGACACAGGCAGAATTATGAGCCCCGCGTCTTGCTATACTCCATCGCCTTGGACTAGTTTAGCATTGCATTATCTGTCATATTATTTTCGAAATCGTCTTCATCTCATATATCGTCAATCTCGAGGCGTTTTAACATTAGTTAATTCTAGTATTAACATTGACACGTGTACTTGCTGTGTAAGTAATTATATCTTCTTATTTCAGGTGGATCCCTGAAACAGGGGGTGCCAACGTGCCCGCTTTGAACGATTTACTCAGCATGTATCAAGTAAGTTTATTGTTTTAACACAAACACACAAAGAAAATTTAATAAATAGACGTATTCTGTTCAATCAGTAAGTAACCTTTAAGATACGGCGACGACTTATTGAACCTAAACAACCTTTAATTAATTTATTTTTATTATAAATACTATAAAAGGTAGAAAAACGTATGCAGAGTACGAGTAGTTTGCCGGGTTACTTATATGACCAGATTCTTGAACGTGGTTGAAGTACATAGTACAAATCGTATTATTGTATAAGGCACTCTATTTCTCTTTAGACAAAGGTGTGAGTCTGTGTAATGTATGTACATCTGTAATTTTGTCAGGTTGCCCTGGGTGATCGCGTTTTCGAAGGAGCATTCAGGTTGGGCGGTCATCCAATGTACTATGCGAGTGGAACTCATATACATAGTTTTCCTGAACATGGAATCCTGATAACGGCGCCTCTTAGTGACCAGGGTCATCAAGTAAGCTATTTACTCAAATAAGCTAATGAAATTATACTATGTACTTTGTTCGCATCGGTTCCACACCTTGGCTCGAATGTTGGCGCCGACTCCATAGTACCTATGTAGTTAGAAAATAGAATTGGTTCCAACATTTGGGTAAACCCTTATCTGATGATGATGAATTAATATTATTCTGCTCCTCGTGTGAATAGAACTTAAATAATTCTTCAACTTTAATACAGCATTGTCTGTATTCTTCTCGTTTGTTTATGAGTAGAAAGCTAATAATATGTAAACAATATATGTTGATTGACATTCTGTTGACTGACATTCTGTTGACTGGTTAAACCCGGTCCCTAATTTAAAACTATTTGGTAATAAAACCGGCAGAAAGAGAAAGAGTCTGTTTTGTTTTCTGAAGTGGTTGTTCAAGATCTGAGTGAATAGATTGTTTATGCCTGCCCATAATCGTTGGCGCATCATTGCTTAGTCTACTATCAATAGTAAACTAGATATGATAATATTATGTTTTGTGTTATACAGATAATGTCTGGAGAAAAGCCGAGTGCAGGAGGCGGTGCGTCAGCCGGTGGGCAGACGGTCGACGTGCCGATACTAGGACTACTGCAGACTGATGGCGAAACCCGGGATTACACGAACGATACCAGCGACAGGCTACCTAAGGTCAGTTTCATAAAATACTATTGCTTATAACAATAATATTTAATTGGATTACTACAAGTGACTACAACAGTGTATAAAATTCTAAAATTTTCAGTCTGCAGCCGCACATAGATACTCGATGTATATGATAACAGGGTTGCTCCCTATTACATGGGGCCCATAGTGCCCATAGCCATAACAGGCAAAAGTGGTCTTATCTATTATGTTCACTTTTGCCTGACTGTTCGTAAAATAAAAAGCGTATTGTGTAAACATGCTAAAAATACGCATTGAAAAGTGTGGGAGAGCCATAGCTCATTCGTATGGAGTTTGGAGGCATACCTCCAAACGTATGGGTTAGTTCGATCGGAGTGTTACCACTGCCTTACAAAAATTCTTTGACCCTTGAAAAGGTCGGCAACGCACTTGTAAATCGTCCGGTGTTACTGGTGTTTATGGGTGGCGCCAATTGCTTATGACTTACATCAGATGATGAAACTACAAAATCAAAATTACATTTGGTATTCCGCACACACAGGCTGGTCGGCTAGTGGTGTATGGTGACTCTTCGTGCTTGGAAGGCGGCGCTGCTCGCAACTGCCACTGGTTACTGCTCGCCGCGCTACAGTATGCGCTCGTCGGACATCTGCCGTCTTCACTCAAGGACGCCGCCACTCCACACCAGCACCGACTGCGCGACGTACATATTATACCATCAGGTATGTTCGATTTTAAAACAATACGAAGCATTTCGAATTCATTTCACGAGCAGATGCACTTGCTTAAAAGACCATACAACTGGTTTTCACGCTACATCGCAAAAAAGAGGATCAGCAATACAATCGCATTGCTAAAAAAATTTGTAACGTGTTAGCGCATTGCAGTATTGTAATCTCACCCTAAACATCGTAAATTGTATAACAATTTAGACCTTACGTAAAAAATACTAGGTCGACTGAACCAACTACTTTATATTAACACCATAAATTGAAGTTTATGAGATACTCGTAATGTCAAATCATTCCTTGCCTAATATAATAGTGTGGTTTTAACAGAATTGCCACAGAGAGCAGAAGGGGGTCGGTTGCACGTATACTCCAGGGTTTTATCTCCCGACGGCAGTGGACCGCGGCCCGTACCAGAGTGTATGACCCCGACCCCAGTGAGGCCCCACCCGATTCATGCACCACCGTCAGCCCGCACCCTCGCTCCGCGACATCAACCTACTGACCCTAAAAGTATTGGTAAGTAGACCTTCACATTTTCCCTGAAAACGATAGAAAATATACTTAATTGCCTGCTTAGTTTACTTAAATTTTAGCCAGCCCCCGGTTAAAATTATATTTCTACATCAATTCGTTTTTGAGTGACCTCGAACGCGTAGCCTATTATAACGGCAGTTTGGTTATAGGGTACTATCTCGTAATACCTTATTGCGAAAAATTTGAAAGAGTCCTTCAAGGAATCTCTTTTTAAAACTATCTTTACGGAGTCTGCTCTATGCTTTAATCTAGGATAGTCTTTCACAAATAGTGGAACAGGTTGCCGGTTGGATAGACCGGCACTTACTCGCTAGTATTGACGGTTAGTGGATATAAGAACATGGACTCCGTTGATTTATGCACTTAGCTCAATCATAAAAGCAGAGAGCTTTCCCTTTAACTACTGGTTATGGACGTAAGAATAATTATATGATAGTGGTGCTCGTTTTAAGATAGGTTACGTAAATTAATACCTATATACATATAGTCAGTTAAGTCTCCGATTGAGGTTGGTAGAATAGAAACAATGGAATGCCAAATGACAAGATTGTGCCACATTTCTTCATGCATGCTCAATGATTTAGAGAACAAATTCAAACAGAATAAAATTCTAAGTCGATTCAAAAATGTAATGGCAGGAATTAAGTAACTGTGACTTATAACAGAATAAAACCATTTTTATTAGACACAATGTAGCAGCTTATACAATTTTGCATCTTTATTTCTATGTAGTCTAGTATTTCGCGACTTGTTTCACCACCTCCATATAAATACCCGATAATCTTATGTATCAGATAGTTCATACAAATTACTTTCTTAATTCAAAATTATCTGGTACATATCGGCTATTTAGACATTGTGCAACAGGCCCTTGCCAATAAAGTTAAAATCTCGTTAGCTAGATATAAGAATACAAAATTTAGCAGATTAAATCACTAATATCACATTTTCTTGCCTCTAAGTTTACGTTAGTATTACTATTTCTTAACTTAGAGTCGTATAAATAAAATTAAATAAAATTGCCTTATGGACAATAAAATTAACAAGCGGCTCTACTTTTGTCTTACTGTAATACAATAACTATGCGTTATCTATTCTTACATAAGCGTAGCGTATCTGATGAGTGACTGTCCTAAAATAAATTATTTATTGTACTTATTTAACTTTTTGTATATTTTATTAACGTCACAGCCCCATCAGGAAGAAGGTAAAACTATATACACAATAAAATATGTGTTTATAGAACCGTTTAGTTGAGACTTCACGCTTTGTTTAAGTCCACGTAATTGAATGGTAAAAAAATTAAAGTTAACCAATGTAAATGAATACTTATGTAAACAAAATAATTATTATTTTACGCACGTTTTTATCTAGCTATTATAATAAATACGCGACATTTACTTCGTCTACGTATTGAAGTAAAAAAGTCAAGGAAACAAGAAATATTTACAATGCTAGATAAGTTAGTACTTTTTTGTGGTATATTGGGCTCTCAAGTCTTACATCCAAATACGACTCAATTGGCAGTCCTATCGTTATGAAATAATTTTATGAGATAAATTATCTATCATGTGTTAGTGAAGATAAGTTTTAGGACATGTTTTCAAAATTTCCTATTATATATAGGTACGTCTTATCGGTATCTGGAGGATTTCGGATCACAATATTACGAATTTTCGATAAAGTAGAAGTTCATCTTATTTTATTAAAGGAGAATGAACCATTATTTATATTAAGTGTAATGATTATCGTTATTAGTATAGTAACTGGTAGTTAATATTATAAATTATGAACATTTCAGATATAATATAGTATCAGAATTTTGTATAGAACACACAACAATCATAGCGAACGCAAAACTAAGTACGGTATTATAATATACCATTTTGGATCTACTCATGTGAGTAACTATAGAGGTAGAATGAATTATAAAGAATAAAATATTCAACCCGGGATTGTAAGTTTGTTATTCAAAGTATAAACGCTCGTGTAATTTTCAATATCCAACAGCGGCATGAGATAAAAGGACCCCTGATATAAAAGGACGATGTCTGCCTGAATTATATTAAATAAGTATACCTACTTCAGTGGACTCGTAATTTGAGAGATCGAATGAAAGGACACTCACAAAGCAGCGCCGCTAATGCGAGGGGTCTGGCAGAAAGGGTCGCCCAACGAGGGTTCACATTGACCTTGGTCTGAGTTACAAGGTCATAAGAGGAGGGTGACTCGCGATTGGCTCGCTAAAATAAAAACACGTATGAATGTAAATAGAATAAAACGGGTTGCGTAATTGATCTCGCAATAGTACCTGCCTGTAAGGTACTGGATCATGATGAATTAATTTCATATTTACTCGCAAGCGGAGAAAATTACTTATATCTATTTATGTAAAATGTCAAACTCCATCACGTAGTTAGATAGAATGTGATATAGATTAATAGATGTTTCCGTTTCACTAGCAGTTGGCACATTAATTAGATGGAATAAAAATTCGTTTTCGAATCGACCTTCTTGCAAGCAATGTGGCGTTATTGTCACATGACATATCACAATATAAATGTTTGTCGTTTTGCATGTAATCAGCACGTTTAACTAAACCTGATGTAGACATGATTATAATAATTAGTATGTTCTTACATACTTGATGTAAAAGACAGTCATAAGTTGCACGAAGTTGAATTTACAGGTGCCCCCGAGATAGAGGGTACGGAGCCTGCGCCGCGCACTTGGCGTGGAGCTGGGGCTGCACCGTCGCGCGCTCATGGTGGGGCGGAGCACCAGAGTCCGAGCATGACTAGCCGCGCCATGACGCTGCTGGCCATCATAGCCGTCGTGTACTGCCTCACCGCCGCCTGGAAGCGCTGCGGCCGCAAGCTACGCCGCCGGAGGCTCATGTCGTTAGCCACCTAGCAAAACCCTAATTGTGATAGAGCAAAACAAAGACGAAATCACGTGATAAAAACCTAACGTGGGGCCAAATATATATTTAGGACTGAATGTGATCGAAGCAAGTTTACTTCGGTAATACAGTATGACTTATGATAGGTAAACAGGGGACGTGTATTATAGAGATTTATTAGTGGCTCAAGCAACATGGGAACGTCCTAATCACAAAACTTTACTTATAGCAAAGCAAGTCACTTCGATGTAGTGAGTAGGTACTGTGGCGCGGCACTAGCAAGTAACATGAAAATACTTACACTTTCGTTATAATTTATTGATGTACCGGTGCGCCGGTAAGTTGTAATGTAATAGTTAAATTGTAGCTCGTCGTACTTTAGGATAAAATGATAACTTAATATTTTGGATAAAGTTTTATCGCGCAAACAGACACCGTTGTCTACAAATAGGTCACAATTTATATTTTCCGATATTATAATATATAGAGAAATAGAGATCACGTTAATCACACGGTGTGCACAAGCAGGTAGCGACGCTACGTTCTCACGTGCGGTCGCTTATCCTTACTTAATATTAAGTACTCTAATAAAATTAACTCAGCTAATTTTATATTAGTAAGGGCCTTAATTAAGTTACCAAAATGTACCTCATTGCAATGGGACTAACTTATCATATCTATTTATTGTCTTCGTTACTTTGTGGATATTAATACAAAAGTCACAGAAATTATATATTTGTACGATGTAGTAGTAGATAGATAAATTTATAAATGGATTACCTGGCGGAACTTCAAGAATAGCTTTCTAATGTTTAGTATGTACCTTAACTGATAAAACATGGCTCCTTAATTATAAGATCAAATTAAGGAAATAATATCAGACTATTTAAAGGATATTCAAGCTTGAGCATGCTTTGTTGCTTTAACTTCTGCACAAGTCTTGATTTTTGTAACACAATTTTACGAAAACTATCAAACTATTGTCTTTATAGTCTCAGCGTGACGTCACAGTCTAAATACTGTAAATGTATAAACTAGGTTTTAAGTCAATTTTTAGCAATCCTGCCAACTATAATACTCATATTCCCAAATAATAAGATACACAAGTAGGCGATGGAGTAAAATATTTAATATTTCCCTTAACATAAATTATATTATCAAAGTTCAAATGATGTAGGTACCTACAATTGAAAGAGTCCAAAAGTCACTTGTCTACGTAATATTTATAAAAATAAGTTTTATCGGGTTCAGCTGCCATCTCTGGTGCGAGGCCAGCCCCCCTTGGAAAATAACTTAATACGTCAACTGGTTTGCTCAAACCGCTTCGAACCCGTGACCAAGTGAAGTTACGTAAAATGATGAGATCATGAAAGTTTGTTTTTTATTATGATTGATTAGATGTCGATTATGTATTTGAAGTCACGCTAAGTAATCCAAGTAAATGTTGTGAAATATTTTCAGCGAAGCTCGGGGTATGTTGTTCATTCGTATATATAGCGTACATATATTCACCTGTTACATAATAATATATTACTATTACCTGTTATTAATTAAACTATAATATGGTTGACAAGTAACATGTTTTATATTGTGTACGTAAACATAAATATACGAATCGGTCTGTAATAACTAAGTTAAGTTTATTGTAGAATTATTTTGTAACGTATACTTATTTATTAATTAGTTTTTGAATGTGGACTGTGTAGCTTTATAAGTTGCACGGTCGCACTTCTGGTGTTTTACGTCACAGTTATTTTGTAAGAATTTATAATGAAATTATTAATTCATGGCTTAACTATGTTTTAAGGCTTTCCGCACATTCAACTCACTCAAATTGAAATATTAGTTGATACTGATGTTAAAGATATTACAGTATTTTACAAATTGTACGCGCCGCGCCGTTAGCACTGTTCGGTTCTGTACAAACATTGAAACACAAGATGCAACTTATCAAATTGTCACATTTGTTAGTTTAGTGGTTTATTTACATGATTACATTGTTTTGTAATTCATGGTAGCTTACACATGAAAGACTGGTTATCACATACGCTTTCGCGTTTAGACATTTATTTTATATAAGTTTTTGTTAATAAAGAATCGTCTGTTAAATTTGTTTTCTTTTTACAACTAAACGACCTGTAATGCGCTGTCTCGAAGCGAAGCTTGCAATGTGTAATCTACAGCCACTTAATATGGACATAAATTGTAGTCACATTGCAATAAAATGCGACGATTTTGCCTAGTTTTAGGCACATTTTTCACAATTTCGTATTGTGGCAGAGGATTGAAAATGGGTACATGCTTAGGTACTTAATTACTTTCCGAGCGGCGGGTCCTAGTTGCCAAAATCAGGTGATACGTGTCGCTGGCAGCCGTACCTAATTAAGCCTATTTTGATAGAGATAAAATTGGAGGCAAGTGCCATGCTTTTGTGAGACTGCAATGTCTTAAAACGTGCAACGTGATCGCGAAGGGGGTTGTTTCAGGCAACCACCGTGGCCATATCCTGTTTGCATCGGCTAAATGCAAGCTGACCATAGATTAGGGAATCCAGACGCTCACTGAGTGACCTCAGGGAAAACAGTAGCACAGTGGCACTGTACCACCGCGCAGGGGGCAGTGAGGCTCAAGAAAGACGCAGGCCATCCTAGGGATGTGACATGGTCTTCGTTACATGTAACGAACATGCTCTGGTGCTACAGATCTCACCATGGTGAGGGCTCCAGGATTGGGCTCCTGAGAGGTTCTTTTGTAGGTAGGTACTTAATATAATCAATGACCATCACATAAGCCTCATTACTACACAAACCTCTCTCAAAGACTTCCAGGTTTGTCGGTTGGAACTGGACGTGACCTGATAAAGGTCGTAGAAAGCCGTTCAATGAAGAGAATCAATGCTTTTATTTAAACCATTTCTTATTTTTTTATCATAGCTTCTCCCAGTGGCTTCGCTGCGCTCCCGGGTATAAAGTAGGCCTATGTATTACTTCGGTTCATAAGCTACCTCTGTTCCAAATTTCATACCGGGCCCTTCAGCCGTTTTGGTGTGGCTGAGTAACAAACATACACACACTCACATATTTTCACATTTATAATATCGGTGCAAGCTAATTTCAACCCGATGGTTGCCCTACAGTTACAGCGTAAAGTCCACTGCGGGCAACCTAACATTCGGCAAACTTATATTTGTGTTTGGTACAGAAACCGTGTCTAGGGATTGAACTGCACAATTAGATTAGTTTTTTCGTTTATATACTTTTTAATACTTTGTTTTTATAAAAAGTACTTACCCAGAGTTGTACCCTGAATCTTAAAGTATATATCATACTCATTTTAATCATGTTATCAGGGCAAGTTTCATCGTTATCGAAGAGGTAGTTTTTGCGCGATGCCTGAACATACAGACAAACAGATACATTTTTTTAATCACATTTTTGAGTTCGGTGTCTTGTAATCTCGTAACACCCCCTACTATTTTTTCACTATTGTGCCCGCGACTTCGTCCGTGTGGAATAGTTATTCACTGCTTCTACTTCGTGGGTGATAGCGTGATAATATGTAGCCTATATGTTGGCCCAACCCCTTAGAAAATCCATGCTGTTCTTTTTTAGTATAGCCCGGATATCTGTCCGGATGTCTGTATAGACAAATAGACAAAAATTCAAAAATATCTAAATTTGGCTACGGTATCGATTGTAGGTACATAGATCACGCTCCAAGTATTCTTCTGAAAAAATATTCAATGTGTTTTTAGTTTCCTACGATTTTATTATATTTATAGATAGATAGATATAGGTATTTTCAATGTACAGAATGTACACTTCTACAGTTTTATTATATGTATAGAATAGATTTCATGGACACCATACAGCAGACAATTTTACAAAGGACAACACATTACAAGCATGAGGTACATGCGCGCTTTCTGCAGACCTGCAACAAGAAAAACAATATCTCGGCTTCTTGATTATTAGTTATGGTTTTGAATGTCTACAAAGTCATCCTAAGTAAATAATTATAATATGATGATTATTTCATTCCATCGAATAAATATATAAAAAGGAAGTAATCACAACACTTGTTAAAATCGAGATACATTCGTTATAAACAATTCATTTCATTCCCGAGTGTCGACTACAACTTCTACAATAAATTACCATCTACAGATACTTAGCCTACTGTTTAGACAGATATTTTGCAATGCCTGTAATCAAATTTTAATGAGTTTACTTTGAAAAAAAAGAAATGGTCTATGTGGAAGCAGGGTTGGCGTCCATTTAGCATATTTGAGTGTGCCGCGCATAGAGCGCGCACGCGCGCTGCATGCGTGCGTCATCTCGGGTGCGATCACGGCCCATGTTCCGCTGGCAAGCGTCGAGCGTCAAGCAGCATTGGACGGATCGACCGCACGGTCCGTACGTCAGTCTAGCTAGTCGACAGTCGGCGCCGATCCCGCGAGCTCGCGTGCACGTCTGCTCACGCCGACAATTTGATCTCAGCGCGACCGCACTATACCGCCATCCGCGATGTCGCGCGTCTATGAACCAACCGACCATGTCGTCGAAAAATCCCTCCTGCCCTCCTTCGAGCAATACCAAAATATGCACAAAGAATCGCTTGAAGACCCCGAGTCATTCTGGTCAGAATTAGCGAATGAATTCTATTGGCAAACACCATACCAGCGTGGAAATATCGTCTCTTACAATTTTAATGTAGACGAGGGGCGGATTTTCGTAAGATGGCTTGAAGGCTCCAGGACCAACATCTGCTTCAACGTCTTGGACAGGAACGTCAGGAACGGCCTTGGCGAGAGAATTGCATTCTACTGGTAAGTTACTTTTTGTTAGCATAGCTCTAAAATCAATAGACAGCTGAGCGGCAATGCACTGAGACGGCGCGCGAACTTATTGATTTTCACCAACAGGCTAGACAGGGTACACAATACACCAGCTGGACATGCTGATAAAAACTGAAAACCAACCTTTGTGTTATGTAATTATAATTCAATCTGAATGCTTAGCGAAATACTAATATGTCCAATGCTAACTTTTCTTGAGTACAGACAGTACTGCACTGACTGACTTAGTTTTCAGTACAAATAATTTGGTAAACAATGTTGTTTTCATGTGGCATGTTATATAAAAGAATGAGTACATCAGTGGCCAATGACTTTTTGGAGGTAAATTAGGTGAAGTAGTTTAGTTAGATGATCCGGTGTATTAAGTAAGTAGTTTCAATGTCTAATTAAAATCAAATGGACATAATTAATACTTATTAATATGTATTAAACACGTAGCCACATAGTAATGGGAACATACATATGCAATTGTTTACCATGCCCTTCTTCTACTTGATTGACCAAAATTCGAATCGACATTTACAAGTATTAGTGTTTGTTGTTATTTCTAAATTAATTGATATTAGTATGATTTTATACCTTCTGACGATTAGTATCTTATGTAAGTATTTATAAATTGTGGGGTTCTGAATTCAATAACTTATGCGAAGTATTCAGGCGGTCATGAAACCACAATACTGCGCTTCGTAGGAACCTGTTAAGCTCCATTTAAATTTCTGAGCCTCTGAACAATTTGCGTCACCGTTAATGTAAGTGATCGCTATAATCCCATTAGATTTAGTACCTAAGTAAGGTACCTAAGTATGAATACGTTTTTTTATCTCTCCTGTCATTCAAATTTTTTTGTTACTAGAATATGCAAACTTTGCTGTTAATTTAATTTCTACTACAAATCCAAACGCATTTCAAGCTGTGATACTGTCCATTAATTTACAAATTGCAGTCTAGAACATTCCTGTTGAACTTTGACCTCTCCCGCCGAGCAAAATGGAGCTCCTGCATTTCCGTTGATTGATTTCCTGCACCCAAGGCGCGCGCACTGCAATAAGTATGTTGAACCCTGGAAGCGTCGTACCCGCCCTCCTCTTGTGCCTACCTGCACCTGCGGCTAGCGCAGCCGCTACCTTCCCTCTACCCTCCTTCAGGTGTCTAGACTTTGTGCAATAAATCAATACAGCTGAGATACTTCAGACAGCATCCCCGGGCTGCTTTATAAGACGCCATTCGCCAATAATTAATTTATATAGCGCCACAAAAGCAATATAGTGTACACATCGCATTACAATATACTAATTAGTTTACGTTTCATTACTGCAGTAGCAATGTACAACTGGTCTAATAATGGAATAGTTAGGAATAGGAATAGTTGGTATTCGTAGGACTTAGGGACTAAGCACAAAGTTCAAATTAAAGTATTTTTATTTTAATTCAATTAAAACAGCAATGAAAAGGATAACAGATTCAAGCAATAGTAAATACATTCAATAACTGTCATAAATGCTCTATACATCTTCTAAAATTTTTAAATGTTTTCCGCGCAAAAACGTTAGATATTTATTCCCGATTTTTTTTTATTAGACGCTTTGAGTCTTATCTAATTTTAAACTAAAGCACATGGCCTATGATTTTGAAACAGGTAACAGGTACCTATTACTAGGTTTATCATTTAGCCATATAAAGTGTATCTACACACCGCAGGATGTAGGTATCAAATACACATAGCTACAAACTGTTGGTCTGAAGCTGTAGGAGGTAGCTAAACATTTTATTGGTTTACCTCCCTATTAACTACTAACTACTTATATTATCTATACTTATAATAAATCTGTATAGAGGCCAATTCTGTACATGAAATATATTTCCAAAATAACTATCAGGGGGTGATTAGTGATCGCTACCAATGCCAAAAATGCAAACAGTAATTTTTTTGTCTGTCTGTCTGTCTGTCTATCTATTCTAAACTTCGTACAATTATTTTTCATACTCCTGGGCAGGTAATAGTATACTTTCCATCTCGCTAAAATCAATGCAGAGCAGTGAGGGGAAATGTTGGGAAAACGGGAGAATTTACTCCATTTTTTAAGCTTCTGTAGCGTATGCAGCCTTAATGGTTAAAGCTACATAGATATTATGTGTAACGGAATTGTTCTACATAAAATTATTCAAAAAATATTCCAAAACATCATATGTCTATCTTTTAGGTTGACTCACAAGGACACGTGTAACTCCCGAATTCCCGATAGCTTAGCAGTTTCTGCTTATATTTGTTTACTCTTACGTTTGTAATACTCTCACTCATCCATAATTATTACCTATTCAATAAAAAAAGAAATCGGTATAGAAACACCAAACTTATAGGTAAATGAAATACGCTAATAAGAGATCGCGCCCGTCGCTCGTGAATACTGAATCATGCTATAAGGATTATTTTGTGTGTATGTTTGTTACTCAGTCATATTAAAACGACTGAAGGGACCGGAATGAAATTCGGAATAGAGGTAGCTTATGGTCTGAAATAATTACCCTGGGATCACGGACGAAGCCAGTGGCATAAGCTAGTTGTATATCTACACTAATAAGTATAAAGATGAAAGATTTGATTATTTGTTTGTATATAATATTTTTGGGACATCATAGTTACGTACTTAAAAATAAAACTAACCGAGTGGGAGTCGAACTTGGGAATACACGGTCGTTGATTTTGTCGCTGTAGTTAGGTAAGTTAGGCATGCTGAAGCGACTGACACATTTTTCTAGACATATTATTCTCTTGAATTACAGCTTTAAATTGCTTTTAATTCAATATGGTAATTTAATTTTCTCTCTTTGTTTAAATATTGATGTTTTATTGTGTGATTGGAGATTTATAAAAAAAACTTTTATTAACACGCTTCTATTAGGTGAAAATGTAACGAACGAACTTTTTAGGTAATAAAATCTAAGAATTTCCGAATTACCACACATCTGTTGGGCATCGGCCTCTCATATTGCACGTCGCTGAGCTCGATTTAGCCCTTCGTATCCAACCACTACCAACTGCTTTGCAGATATCGTCGCCCCACTTATCTCGAATGTTACTTATTGGGGACCCTTCTTATTTGCCTAGAGAAGGCCCATGGTTCGGCAGGTGGATCACCTAATCATCTAACTGGGTGATTAGGTGGCAGAGGAGGTTTAGTTCGTACTCAAAAATGAAGATAAGCTACGTTTAAACCATGAGGTTGTAACACACCACCACCTAGCACCATTTATTGAAGTTGTGTACATATTTTTTAAGTTTTTCATTTTATGTTTTCACTGTTCTTATTTCTGATCTTCGGATTAATTTAATCTACTGAAAACATTGACAAATTGACTGTTTTATTTATAGAAACATTATGTCATACTGCTACATTTATTCTATAAATAAAAATTATCTGATCACTTGACAATGAATGTGCGGAAAATACTTCGTTGGATGCTTTAGATTATAATTAGGTGACAATTTGACAGTGTTTGTTTGGAAAATAAATAATAAAATTTATATCAAACTGTCATATTTACATAATCGAGCTACATAAATATTCTGTGGGAAACGAATCTAACTGTTTTCTACATAATTTTATGTTACTGTATGTGTGTACTTTAATTGTCAGTCAACAGTTCCGACTAGAGAAGTCAGATTTCAGTTATTGAATAGATTGGTACAGTGTACCTACTATTATTGAACCGTTAATTGTGTGCATTTAAACAGTTTTTTGTCAATAGAGGTAATAATACAATAATTTAAATACAAAGCAACAATCAAATCAGATTTTATCTTAATTTTGTCACACCTAGTTCGAAGCAGTTTATGACACTCGTTATCTATCATCGGAGTTAACTAAATGAACTGTATTCACACAAATGACCTTATTAACGAGATAACTATCAACATTCGCGATAAACTATACATTGCATCACTCTCAATGCAAACACGTCAAGAACTATTTGTAGTAGATGTTATAGATAAAGGAGTGCAAATTGCATTTCTAGGCATTTTGATAATTCTAAGCAAATGTCCATAACATCACGTTTGTTCTGGCACGAGGATTACGAAGGGGACATGTTACAGCTAGTTATAATAAATTTCATAATGTGTGACTGTACTAAGTTTACCCTGCTGTAATGCGGTGGACTTAACATTTCAATGAATATTTTTCACAAGAAATTCCTTGCAAACAAGTCATAAGAATCCTATCTCACTTGACTCTCGTTATTGGAAGTAGGTACTTGTAATGTGAATACGAGTGCTGAACTCGGGTTTGATTGATTTATTAAGATTTCCGTTACTGAAACGGCCGGTAGTGACCATTACAGAGTCTTGAACCCTCAATGAAAGGATCTTGGGAGAAAGTGGATGCTTATACTTATTTATTTTAGTCAAACTTTTGCGATGATTTAGTTTTTTCTTTGTTAGCAGTTAGTTCAGACCTGCTACTTCGTTTACAAAATGAGGTCATTACCTTAAACCGTAATTCCACATCTAGATAAGATAATGTCAAACACAATTTACATAATTTTTAAATCTGTGTAATTAATTGTTTAATTTCTCAGTTATTTATAGGGCTATCAAAGTTAAGCCGTTATCCGTATTGTTGACGATATACTTAATCCTATTAATAAAAGTAATTGTATTTAAGAAATTACACTTATAACACGACGATAATAAAGGTCCTAAACTGAAATCATATCATTGATGTACCTAATTTTCTTAGTACAAAAGTTTAGATTTAGGGAAACCGGCATTGTCTACCATTAGTATAAACAAAATGACATAATATCGTACCACCTTGCTGAACCTGTGTCAAAGCCCTATCAAAGACTATTATGAAAAAAATATTTACCCGTCTTCTGTATCTATACACCGTTTAAATACTATTCATTCCGTTTTACTGTGCCTATTACTAACAGCAAGCGTAATTGTTTGTTTAATAGTTAAGCATAGCATT